TTTAGAAGTAACAGTTTCTGTCTCTTTGCCAGAATTTACTGCCCATTTCTATTGCTTCTATTGTTCTATCAGCTAAAATCTGGAAATGACTAAATACTATTCACAAGTTTCCATGCAAAATCAGCGATATATCCCTTCCAACACATTCTATATTTCTACAATATGCACCCTTAACCTGCCACTAGTTTCACATTATCTTGACTCTGCAGCATATGAGAAAAGCAGTTAGAATAGTATCCAGCCACTTATCAGACAGCACAGGGACGGGGACTGTCACGTCCATCAGAGGGACAGGAATACCCTAAACAGACAATTCACAGTATGATCACAACCCTAAGTTTGCTGGAGACAATTGAAATATAAATCAAAATATAACAAAGGACTTAACAATCTGCCTTAGAATAACTGCACTGAACTGAACAGTTAGTACGTCCTTGAATGGGTGGAACCAATTTTACAAAACTCACAGCATCACACAGTCAGCAGCTAAAGAGTGACCTCAGTTCTGACCTTATGCCGCAACGATTCATTTTCTTCTTGTATGAGACTGCTCCTGAGACATTCAGCTTCAAAGTTCAGTATGACTGGAACCGGTAAGGAATGTTAAAGAAAATCAAGGCACGAACTTGTGAGCACCTGGTTTAATTCTAAAAGCCAGCACTCCATACCAGCCATTTGCCTGTAAAAACAAAGCTGCCCAGTCCATACAACTAGCAATAAGTATGCGCACGACCAGAAGATCAGCAACAGCTTAGTTACCGAGTCAACTTTGTACTTTGCTGTTGCACAAACTATTTCACATGGACTTTGTAAGGATTTTTAGATTATTCCTTTTTACAGTCAGAGCTGGAAGACAAGACAGGTTATGTTACTGCTTTACTGTACACTGAAGAAACAGTTCCTGATGAGCTGTATTCCAGCCACAGTGTAAGCCTGCCCATCAGCAAACACATTAGGCCAGAACTCTGTAGTGTGAGGCAAAAACTTCTGCCAACAATTAACTGCCCTATTGTAGTGAGCTGTCACTAGACAATGTTGTGAACATAATGTACCCAGAGAAGAGTCTAACAGAAGATGCCAGAATAGTTATGGACTATGACCCACGGGTGCATGCCTGTTTTGTACTATGTCAAGCAAAGAGTAAAAGCATTTCAGAACAAGGTGTGGGCAAGATTTCTAGTCACTAGGACAGGGCTGCATAAGCAACAATCACAGTTGTTTGTGCCCAGGGAATGTAACATATCATCAGATAATTGAGCAATAACTATTCCAACATCCTCTGGTAAACACCAGCTTCCTATTAAGTCTTGGCTGTTTTAAACAATCACCTGAAAGCAGCAGGTTCTGTAATACTATACTGGTATATAGGTTCTGTAATACTACATTCTCGGCATCACTGTTAACAGTATAACACCATGGCAAGGGAGATTTAACTATTAGTTGCAAAAAAGGATATGCATGCACTGAAATAAGACACTCAGGAAGTTGTGCAGAGACACGATAAATGTATCTGCCCACTGGCGGGAGAAATAGGTAGCGAAGGTGGGGTTGGAGTCTGGGGCAGGGAGGAAGGGCAGGACAAACCACTCCTTCCACTCCACTTGGTTCTGGAGCTCGGAGGCCTGCTTGAGGAAAAACTCCTGCGCCTTGTCATTGCGGCCGTTCTGAAACACAGCAAGAAGAAAAGGGCTCACACTTCTATTAATGCTGTCAGATTAGGTCTAGGAATACTTGCTCTCTGTTATGTTCTGTTATGAACACAATAACAACTACTTTCACCACCTGACACAGCAAGTGGCTAGAGTTAAGAGATTCATAAGGGAACAAAAGAATCTCAAATACGCTATGAGAAGCTCACAAATACACTTAATCCAACCTTCTTTCTAGTCACCACAATCTTGTTTAAAGGCTGAGACAAATCAAACTAAACACACTGATCTCCAGTTAAACCACTGCAGATCGTGCGCTGACATAAGACATGAGCGTTCATACTCAGGACCAAAGTGTAAATTACTCAAGCCTACAGCAGATGTAACCTGAAAAGGTTTCCGCCTGTTATATTATTCAGACAGGGCTGTCACACCTCAGGGTAAGCACACGGCAAAATAAAATACGAAAAAATGCACTTCTGGAAATGCGTATTAGATTTTGATTCCTCCACCAACACCAATCAAGATTTTCAGTCAGGGACTGGAATCAAGGAGGAAGAATCAAGGGGAAAATATACTCCATTGACTTTCCCAGGGTTTCAGTAAGTTAATCTCTGTTCCATTTTAAGCTCATTATTTTCTGTTCTATTGAAAGCAAGCAAAAAGATATTAATTTTCTCTCCCACATTTCCTTGTACCAATTTGAACCTTGTGATCTCTGCCAGTATCCAAGTTATCAACAGAGGCTAAGCAAGACTGAGCTAGCATCCTTCTGAGGGGAACTTGCCTTCATGTCAGACTGTGAACATCTTGCTCTCAGCTAACTGTGTTTCCCCCTCGCCCGAGTTTCCCTGTCCTTCACACAAGCTTGTCATGTGAGACTGCATCAACCTCGTTACTACACTACTGATCACAACACATGAATTGCTTGCTCCTTACCCACCAGGCCTGTCAGAGGCTCACAAGAGCAGTTTACTCTCTGGTTTCAGAGACCAGGATCTTGATAAAAGAGAAGCCTAAAGATCAAACACTACCTGAATAGCATGGACAAGGTAGTATCGGAATAAGCTGGTTTTGAGCTTGTTCACCGTTGGCCGGTACACGTCTTCCAAACGGCTGAAAAGGCGTCGGTCCAGATAACTCCAGTAATCCCGCAGGGCAGCCAGATCGTAGCTCTGAACGAACTGCTGCAGCTGGTCTACTATCTTATCCACCTAAAGAGGGCAAAACGGAGAAGACTGAAGTCATTGAGGGCTCTTGCGGCACAAGAGACTTTCTGTAACTCAGTGCTGAGAAGTTTTAACTGCATAAATGGTACAATCCAACACTTATGCATTAGCCATTTTCCTAATCCTGGAAACACTGCATTTTGTATTAGCATTCTTCCACTCTGCAGCACTTTCCAAATAAAAGAAAAAGAAACATGATAGAATATAGACAAAAAGATTTTCACAGAAATATGACATTTTGTTAAGCCCAGTTGAGAGGGTTCTTTGCAAGTAAGCAAAACTTTCCAGTGCTTTGAAAAGTCACTTGATAATGAAAAAGTAATAACGTGATCAAATGTTGAAAACTCAAGTGCAGTATACGAAAAAAATAGCATTATTTTTAGACTAAAAGGAAAAACACCCCTACATTTAGCCAATAGAAAGAGGAAGTCAGTTCTGTTGTATTGCAATCTTTGAAGTACCTTTATCTTTAATAATTTCATCTACTAACAAGGTAGGCGTAAAATTTTGCAACAGGATTTTTTTATTATGATGTCCTTCTGAAAATAATTTCTGCAATATGAATAAGGAAGAATGGTGGTGTGGGAAGAGATTTTTTGTTCAGTGACTTCTGATGGCCAAGAGAGGCATCAGGAAAAAAAAACCAACCCTCTACCCTGTATAAAATTAAACTGAATTCGTTTAATATGTGGTTTGCTCTCCCCTCATCAGTTAATGTTTCAGGACGTCACTCAGCTTCTATCTCTGCGGCTTCCTACAGATAAATGAAACTGAAGTTTGTGACCCCAGCAGTTCCTTCTTGGACAATAATTTCAGTTAAGTCAACTGTCTGACAATCTCTAAACATTAGCAAAGTGCTAGTGTTTTAAAAATAAAAGCAACATGCTTAATGAATAATAAAAGTAGTGGCTGGATTGGTGGTTAAAGAAAAAATCTGACTGTTCAAAGCACTACATTCAGTGCTCAGAACTGCTGTTACACGAACATGCAGCTCGCATAATAGACTGAAACTGTATTTTTGACACTGGCAAATTCTGTGCCAACTTCCACACGTTTGTCAAGGTAGCTGGTGCTTGAGACACACAAACTAAGAAGCAGAGCTGTAATGCCGCTGGACAAGAATCTCATGACCAAGAAAAGATCCAGGCAAAGAGATGTCTTCCTGCCGCCGCCCTCGCGGTACGCGGGTCTCCTCTGTTCCTCTCGACTCGAAGCCGAAAATCCCCCGGTGGGTTGCAAGTCGGACAGACGGCAGTTCTGGGCGGGCCAGGCTGACCACCGGCGGGGGCGGCTGGCCGGGAACTGTGCTCCCCGACTGGGAAGCCAAGCGAGGGGATGAAAACCACTGTCCTGCGCTAACGCCGCTCCGGAGCCACGCAGGAGGGGAGCCTTCCCCCTGCTGAAGTGCCCCGCGGTCCCCAGCGCGCACACAGGCGGCGGCCGGGCGGCTCCGAGGACAGGGGTCCCTCTGCGCGGCCGGCCCGGCCCCGCCACCCAGCCCAGTGCAGCCCGGCGGGGCGGGGCCGGCCGCTCCGGAGGGAGGCGCGGGGGCTCCGAGAGCCGCCCCGCCGCCGTCAGGCCCGCTGCCCTCGCCCAGCCCCGGGGAGCGCGGAGAGGCGCCCGAGGCCTGCCCGGGGACCGCGTCCTCCCCGGGGGCACCCGCGCCCAGCGCCCCGCCGGGAACGGGGACACGGCCGCCGCTCACCCGGAAGCCTTTCTCCCGATCCGCCTTGATCTCAGCGTCCAGCTGCTTCAGGGTGGCGGTAAAGCCGCGGAAGAGCAGATAGTCCCGCACCAGCTCATCCGTGCGCTCCGCCGCCGCCGCCATAGGGACCCCGCGGCGCCGCCGGCTCCGCCCGTGGGCGGGGTGGGGCGGGGCGGGCAGGGCCCGGCCCTGCGCGGTGAGGACTACAGCTCCCAGCATGCCCTGCCCGCCCTCCTTTTCCCGCCTGTTCCCTGCCCCTCTTCCCTCCCCGCCGGAGCTCAGAGCCCGCGTTTTTTCCGCCTTCTGATTGGCCGCCGTCCGGCGCGGCTGCGTCGCGATTGGCCGTTGGCCACGTGTGGCTCATGTTGCCTGGCGCTCGCGGCAGAGGCGCGGCGGCCGAGGGCGGCTCCGGGCGGGGCGGCACCGAGGGACACACCCGTCCCTGCAGAGTCCGGCGGCGCCTCAGGGGTTTCCCCCGGCCGGCCTGTCCCCTCCCGGCTGCGGAAGGAACAGCAGGGGCGGGCCTTCTTACCCCTAGGCTGTACTTGCGGTCGGTAGCGGGGCAGCGGGCATTGGCCTTCCAGTGGCAGGCCGGGAAGGGCTTTCCAGACGGGCGCCTCAGGCTCTGTCAGGCCGGCGGGGCAGCTGCAGCAGGCCTGGCTGCGCCTGGATCTGGCCCTCTTGTGCAAGTGTATGTCTGATATCGTTGCCTGCACAAATGTCACAGTTAATTGGGGAAAAAAATCCAATATTGTAAAGAAGTCTGTCACTTAGTAACATGTGTGGAAGGAGAGGAGTCAGTGTGAAGCCAAGCCCTGGATATTTGATGGAAACGGGGAAGTGTGCAGGAGGTGGGAGGCTAGCTTAAGCTGTGTTGCAGTTTATTGTTAGTGTTTTAGTAAGTAAGATCCCTTTAACAGGCAGGGATCTGTCAGGCAAAGAGAACATTTCAAACTCCATGATTTTCTACACAAAGATGAGCTGGAATGCCCTTGTCAATCAGCCACATATTTTTGTTTGTTTGTTTTGGTCTGACCACTATGCAGGCTGTAAGATTTCTTTTTCTTCACTTAGATATTTATTCAGTATAAATAAATGTTGCATTGCAGCTTTCGGCAGAGACAGCTGGAGACTGTAGGAAGATACATGCCAGAGTGAGTCTCAATCCCCTGACACACCTGTAAGAGGTAGAACACTGTATGGCAAAGCAGCACTTGCCACAGGCACACCACCGGGTTCCTCTGGCAAGACTCTTCAGCAGCTTGCGGGGAAGAGTTTTATCCCAGTCAGACAACTGTGCCTCAAAGGTGCGGAGCAGCGACTACTTCCCTATCCATCACTATAATACATAAGCATGTTCAAACTTAACCAGGTTTAGGTTAAATTTATGAGGATGACCACTGTATCTTAATGGGTGCTGGTGCGTGTGTAACTTCACTACATGCACCTTTCCTGGATCTCTTTAAAGCTGCCAACTCAGCATAAGCAAGTTGTTCAGTTTGTAGTTTCTGGGTCATGGGTTTATCATGTGCCTTGTCTGCACTATTCTTACAGGCTTTTTTGCTGCATTTTTCTAGCTTTGCGTCTTCTTTTATAGTGTTTTGGAAACAAACCAAGGGATCTCATGATGGAGTTATCTTGATTTCACAGCATTTTGCTCTGAAATCAGAATAGTGAGTTTAGGGACAGAAAAAGTTAGAGGGGAGGGAGAAATTCATTCAGCCTCATGAGGCTCTGTCTTCAAGGCACTCTGGAAAAATAAGATCAGGAAAAAAACAACCACCGGTACTGTTTCTTTGTCTATTCTAAACAAAGAAACTATTTAATCAAAATTGTTTATAAAGATGAAATTTACTCAAAATACTACTGAACAGATTGATATTGCTATGCTGGAGGCAGAGAAACATCAGGAGTCTTTTCTCAACCCTGCCACCAATTCATTTGGTTACATTGTTGTTTGGTTACATTTTCCAGTTTGAAAAATGGAGAGGGAATTGTCCTTGTACAGGGCTATGAACATGCCAAATACTTCTATATGAGGCTTGTGCCTGCTCAGGCCCTTAGCTCTCATGTAGGTTGAGGTAAGAGTTTGGTTTCCCATGTTCTGAGCAAGATGCGACTTAAGCTGAAGTCATCATGATCTCAGAAGCCAAAACTAAACTACTACTTCCTTTGCCTAGTCTAAGGAGACTACGTTCACATGCCAATTCTTAAAATTGCTTTTTCATAGTATCATGTGCCGCTTGTGCGACATCAGGGGGTCAAGGAAGTTTAATATCTTGAAAAAGCCTAAATACAGAAGGTCACTTGTATCCTTAGTGTTTAGTGTCTTGCTAAAATATCTGTCGTGAAAGCTCTGCAAGGTAGACATCCCATGTAAGGTGATCATGGATGGTCTCACCACACACGTAAATCTTCAAATATTTTGGAGATGTGTATGTTTAAATGCACTGGTCGTATGTTTTCAGTTATGTCTGGTATAAATGATGGAGTGATGTGCAGCAATGAAGTTATTCCAGTTTACATCAGCTGAGAGTAGAGCATGGCAAAGGCTTCTCCTAGCAAAATTCTCACAGGAAATCATTACTAAAATCTTATGCTTTAAGTTGGTAGGCATCCAACAAGGATTCACAGCATGGTATTTCTGGACATGCTCCAAGAAGAGAATGATCCAAAAAAGACCATTTGCTGATGAAAAAAGATCAGAGTTAAGTAGCAAATGTCTTTGAGACTGGGTGTGATGTGTATGTATTGCATAATATATACAAATATTTATATTCTATGTTGAAGTTTACTATGTTATTATTTTCCCTTTTCATATGTATAAGGGTAGCTGGTGAAACAACATCATTTTTTTCACAGAGACATGGAAATTACTGAAGGTCAAAATGAAGCAAAAGTGAAGAAAAAAATCAAGGCATTTTCAAACATGAATCTAGTTAGAGCAGAGAATAATCAGTTCTGTTTTCTTCTTATGTTTAGTATCAGGTTTTGTGTAAGGCTAAGACATCTATCCAGAAGTTGGAGCAAACCTTGTGTTCTTTGCTGAAGATGAAAGGTAACTATGCAAGTATTTGCTTGGACAAAGTGCCTGCACTTGGTTTTTATGTATTTGTTAAACAGAGACAGATAGGTGCACAGCTGAGGATCACAGCCAACTGTGGCTTTAGTTGTAGCAATAAAGGGGATAGCAAAAAGTCTATCAACCCACTAAGCACTGCATCTCAGAAATCCCCCTCTAACTCAGTGTTTCCTACTCCCTCCCCAGCCTAGGTGCAGAAAGGAAACAAGTATTTCCTGCTATCCCATGGCAGCAGGCCTGAGTGCCCTTGGCACACTGCTGCCGATTTGCCCCCAGCAGGTGTGGCCTGGTGTGGGTCCCCATGCTGGATCCTTAGGCTCTCACTAAGGAGCCTCACTCGCTGTGGGAGCATGTGTGCTCCTCCCGGCCGCAGCAATGTGGTGCAGTGCGAGTCACAGCCGTCAGGAGCACCCAGCGGTGTGAGAGCTTGAACTGCAGGCTCTGGTGTGAGGTAGGATTTCCTAGTGTAGGAAATGGAAGCCTCTGATTAAGAGTTTACTCTGATAAAAATGGCTAAGAGAGATGGTACAGTTTTGTTTTCTTTCCGCTTGATGGGTCATCTTCATGCCCTCCTCTGTCACAGCCTGTGACACGCGGGTCAGCATGTGCTGTCAGCAGCTGAGGCAGTTCCTGCTGTGGGGCTTCACACCCTCAACAATGAGCCTTCTGTTTACTGATGCTGGCCACTGCCTCCACTGGCAGCAAGTAGGACTAAGGGCGTATAGGGTAGAGGCTTTGGACATATTTTTTTGTCCCTTCAAGTGTCCAAATTCTTGTCAGCCAGAAGAAAAAAATTGCTGTTTATGCAACTTGCACCTCCAATAATTTACATCAATTAGAAGTCTCAGTGCTTACAATGAACAGTCTTATCTGAAACCACATCTTTGGATGACCCGTAAAAGTCAGTCATAGGTAGAAAGAATATTTTGACAGAGCAAAACTGAAGGGATCACAAGCAGTGAGGCTGGCCAAGCGGAGCTTGGAGGCAAGCTTCCCCTTGTATTGACTTGCATGTATGTAAAATTCATACTGCTTGTGGTAATCACAGCTTGGATGTCAGGGTTTTTTACATGCAATTCGTTCATTATATGGTAATCACAAAATACTGTATTGACTAGTGCATGCCTGAACTTTGATTTGCTTGTTGTTTTCACCATCAGTTCTGTCAGATCAGTGTTAGGAACAAGGCGTTGATTCTAAGTTCCTCAGTGTTCATAACCTCCCAATGATGCTAGTCACATTGTAGGAGAGGCAGAGATTTCTTCTTTCACATTATTTTCCCTCATGAAAAGCTCTGGCTCATGAAGAACCAGTTATTGAAAATACTCTGTTTGGTTGGGGCTGAGGGTGAGTGAGAAGTCAAAAGTGCCACTGATGTAACAGTAACCTTTCTGCTGACAACAGAGAGCTACAGTCTGGAGGATGGGAACCCATCCAGCTTGGAGGAAATCAGGGAGGAATATGTCAAGAGGCAATTCAGCAATCACAGGTAAGGGCTTATACCAGTCAAGAAAAGATGATAATACTTTGCACTTGCTTCCATCCCAGCATCTCTGAACCTCTTTGTCATTGTTACTGTATTTCCAAGCAGAGGTCTTTCATCATGAGAAAAGGATGAAGAGATTTCCCTTGGACCCCTGTAATCCCATGTAGTACACAAACATTCTAAGCATGTTGTTGGTCTCATTTCCAGTCAGTGCTTTTATTTTCTTTCCCTTCTATATAGCTGATCTCCACCAAGGACTTCTCATTCTCCTGCAAAGCAAAAGAAGGAGGGAAAAGCTGGCTTGGGAAGAATGGCCCTGGACTCTGGAGTGACCATGACAGGGGTCCAGTTAAGAAATTGTTCATGTAGCTTTTTTCTTTTGTGTTCTTTCCAGCATTACATCAGCCTCAGAAGACGTGAGTGAAAGTGACTCTGCCATCTGGTATTTGATTCAAGAATGTGAAAAACAAACACTGGAAGAAGATGGGAAGCCAGAACTGATCCAGTTTTCAGACTCTTCTTCCCCAGATCTAGTGGAATTTGAACGGTAAGTGCACCCCACATTTCCTTCAGTTTTTCAACTTGTTTGCATTAACACTGTGCATTGAGGCGCTGCTGTTCATACAGCCCTGCTGGAGCCTGAATCTGCCTTGCAGAAGACTTGTGCCAGCAACTTTGGCCCTGCTGGTGATGGAGCTGATCACTTCCCAAGTCCTTTACCTGTGACTTGCATGTGAATGAACTCTCAGCATCATAGCAGTCCCCAGCTTTCAGGCCCTGGTAAATCCCTGAGGATTTTTCACCCCTTCTCAAGAAAAAGAAGAAAATTTCTTTCAACTGTTTCAGTCCCTGTGTGGCCACGCTTTACCACTGTCCATAGGACTTTCAGAGTACAATGGAACATACTTGCTAACAGTAGTGCTTTAACAGGCAAGCTCAGGTGAAATAGGAGGTTATTAATCCAGGATGATTTATGCAGGTGTGTGTCCCTGTTTGTTTGTGGTATCAGTACCCCCATAAAGTTGTATCCCTGCAATGGGGCTAGATTTTAGGAATGTAGGAATTGCTACACCAGATGAAATTGTCAGGAGTCTAGCTGTATGTGTTCTAGGGAGGTACAGGAACCAGAGGCAGAGCATAGTTTCCCCTACAGTGATGCTCATCCTGCCTCTAATAGCATTGTTATGAGAAGCTTGAACACTGTTGCCCCTTCCCAAAATAGACCCTTAGCTGTTTGCAGCTTGGAATACTTTTTTAGTGGGATCAGAGCAGGCTAAGGCTGCATTCAACTAAGGAAGATCTTGTTGTTCTCAGCCTGCAGGCTGCAGAATAGTGGTGGTCTGGAAGATACCAGAAACCATTCCTCAGAATGTCTGCAACACCGGGGAGGAGGGGAACCTAAACTCTTGCATGTGTGTTACTAGTGGGTGTGAGTCCATAACCCCCTCTAGGATCAGCTCCCTAAGTGCCTGATGCAGGACCTAAAAATCAAAGACCACTGTTCTCCTGTCAGTGGTCCATTATTTTAGCCAGAGATTGTAATGGTTTTTTTCAAAGTTATTAATATCTTAAAACTGAGTATGTTATACACCACGTTCTTCCCCTTCCCCTAGTCAGACAGCACTAGGAGGTTTTATCTTGCTTTTCCAACAGGATGATTATTTGATTGTAAAGATATGAGAAATAGATGAATGTGTAATCTATCCTGTACCATCAAGCAGTCAAGTTCACCCTAACCATTCCAGAGTTAAGAACATGCAGTGCAGAAGAATCCACATCTAGCATCCTCTTCCACAGCATCGCCACCACAAACAAACACTTCCGCAGTTCCTTTTCTTTTGCTTCAAACTGCTGCTTATTTCTAAAATTCCCTTGGATCGTCGTGTTTTTCATCAAATGGAGCCTGCAGCTGTGCCAGCAGATGGCACCAGCCTCCCACTACAGCTCCTTTTTTTTTTTGCTCCTGTGAGAATCGGAGGTGCCTGTAGTAAGGTATCGTTTACAAGACCTTGAAATGTGCTGAATCAAGATTTTCAGGGTTAGAAAGCTCTGCTTCCTCAAAGACTGCATGACAGAGCTGTAAACACCTGACTTTCCCATTCTTCACTGACAAGGTAGACCAGGGCCTGTACTGTGTGAACTCTGGCTCTTGCCCTGTAGTCTTATGGCATGTTGCGTTTGGTTCATAGCTAATTCTTGTCAAAAAACGATCTTTTATAACAGGTATAAAACAACAGGGACTCTTCAGCAAAGAAAATAGCAGTCTTTTGGTGATTGTTGAATCACATTATTTGGGCAGCATCAGAAATGCTTTGAGCTTCAACAGGCTGAGTTTTCTCCCCATGTCCACCAGCAGGAGCTACACTGGTAGGACTGCGCGGTACTCTGTCCAGTGCAAAATGTGTCCGGTGCAAAACTCTTTCCAGTTGGGAAGGAAATAGTTGAGTTCTGCTTCAAGCTTAATTTCTTTAGCAGAGCAGTCCAATGGTGATTCATATTCTTCTGCCTGAGAAACTCCAGATCCTTTGTTTGGAGCTGGATATCCAGAAACCTTAGTGAGTGAAATACCTTACATGAGAACGTTTATTCCCCTTCCAGTATTTTGTCTCCAACAATGGTGAACAATACTCCAGAGTATGGAAACGAGTTTAAACATGCTTATGTGTGTGTACAAAATTATCTTGCCAGTATTGGATTACTGGAACAAATATTTAAAAATAGTAAAGAAAAGACTAAACTCTTTTGAGTTACTTTATCATGCAATACTGTTCAGTTAATCAGGAAATGTGCTCATTTGTGAATCATTTTGAGCCCAAACGTAGTAAAAATGCCTGCTGTTTATAGAACTCTTGTTTGTACTCCTTTGATTTTGTTATTTTCATTTGAGAAGCTCTAAGCATTTAATTAATGTAAATTAACCTTCAGTGTTGCTTTCTGAAGTAGACATTATTATCCTTGGTTCACTGTGCCACACAGTGCTAACAGTACAAGCAGGCTTGTTCTGAGATTTAGTGACTGGGTTGAAATTATGACACGTTCCACTACCAGTTTCACTGCAGACTGCTTAGAATTCAGTCTTAGGGATGCATTTCCTCAGATGTAAAATGCAGGAAATTTAGCTCCCATGCTTAAGTCAGAGCATCCAGACCTGGGGTAGTCTCCTTCTGTCTGCATGTACAAGTACCTAACACCTCAGACAGGGCTTTAAAGTGTAGCGCAACGCCAGTAAGTGTCTAAAAAGTGACTTGCAGTGCAAAAGGCTCAGAATACAAAGGCAAGTAGCTGAAAATTGATTAAACTCCAGAATGAGGTCTGCCTGTGCAACAAGTACAACCTGCAGTGCCTGGAGCTTTTGTTGTGAGGCAGTCCTGCTGAAGCTGTGGCTGGAGCCTGTTTTTTGCAGATGAAATCTTGGCAGAACAGAGTTGCTAAAATCTTCAAACAGTGTTGGGCAATCTTCAATAATTGTATGAAGTCTTAGAGGGGGGAGTCAGTGAAGCAGTTACGAATCAGAGCTACTCCTACTACCCACTCTCCTGCTGATTTTCAGTAGATGGCTGCCTCATAGCCTGCTCTTAAGAGATGCTCCCTTTCCTTTCATTCCAGATACCTGTATTTTTATAAGCATACAATGGACCTACTGATAGAGCATGGAATTGTTTGCACTGGAGAAGTGCCTCTTCCTGAGGTCTCCACAGCTATTTCCCATTTCTGGCAAGAGCTTTCTGAAGAAAGCAGGGACAGCATCTTGCAGTACTGTAGTCAGAGAGATTTCCTCGTGGATTCCAAGGCTTCTGGCCAAGAGCCTGCATGCACTGAAGGGAGCGTGAGGGACAGCGGAGGTAACAGTGAGGAAGCCAGTGGTTCCTCAGTCTCCACACCAGAGGAAGTAAGTGCTCAGTAACATACATAGTCTGCCTCTGAAACTCCAGGCCTTCAGATACTAATTGGCTCTGCAGCTTTTAATTGAAAACATACAGTAGTTGTGACTAAGCTTTCTCAAGACCACCTGAATGCATAAGTGGAGACAATAAGCAGTCTTTGAGTAAATGTCTGCACCAACTTTTCTCTTGATAAGATACATAGCAAGCTATAGGAGTGCAGTGGTAGTAACCCTGTGCTGAGTAACAGCTAAATTTACTCATAATTTGCTCCAGGGGCAGGGAGCAAGAACAAGAGTTCCTGTGCTCTGCAAACTCTCTGAGAAGCGCAGAAGATCAAAATTCAGAAGGAATACCCAGTTTGCCAAGGCCTGCTGTGTTTTGGGTTGGGTGGGGTTTTTTCATCAAAGCGCTTGGTAGCAAAGAGACCAGTTCAAATGGTACAGGGCCAATGACTGCCTGTACCATGCACCTCTGCAGAGCCAAGAAGCCAGTGATTGAGTAGACCATGGCATTTGTTAAAAAGAGATTGATGACATGGATTAAATAACTGCTAATTCTTTAGAAATGGTTCCTGGAGCACTGATTGCTGAAGCAACTAGCTGCTCAAAGAGATATGTGTCATTTTATTAGCTGCAACAGAGGGACAGATGTCTACCTTTAGCATATAAGGAAATTGCATTGATAAGTTCTTTTTGAGTCACAGGACACAACTCATATTGCTTGTTGCCTTAGGAAATGTCATGGGGATGTTGCATGTACAGCACTTTCTGGCACAGAAAATGTGTGAACTGCATTATGGCAGAGTGAACTAATGAGCTTATTAGTCTGTCACAGGGAGCATCTAAACTCCTTTGTGAAATAGAATCAGATTTGGAGAGACTGGCTGGTACAGCTGAGATCTCCAGCCATAAGCAGCAGTCCATGGTCAAGCCTCAAAAGCACTGATACAATTCATGGGTTTTACTGATTTTTTTGGGAGATGTAATATTAAGTCTAATTCCAAGAGGTTGAAGCACAGGCTTAAGGGAATGGACCTTCACCTTGTGTTCTTAGTCATGAAATACAGTTATTCCTTATTATTCCTGTCTCCACAAAACCTCTTGGTTTACTCTAGCTGTAAACGTACCTATTAAATATAAAGAAAGAATATCATGTTTTTAAAGACTTTACTATTAAAAATTATGCCCTAGGTAAAAGTTTTAGGTGGCTGGATATGTTGACATCTGAAGTGATTTCTCTGCTAGGTAATGTTTGAAGATGCATTTGATGTTGCTGCTGGTTTCCTTGACAGAAGCAAGACTCAGGGAATGTCTAGCCAGAGGTAAATTACAAAGTTACCCCTTTTGGTAAACGCAGTAAGTTAACAGCCCACCGTCAATACTTCACAGCAAGTGTTCTGTGGAGTAAGACAATAGCCTACCTCTCTTTTTTGTGCCTAATTTTTAGTAAATGGTTAGAATGGCAGCCTCCAGCAACTGTGCTCACAATAATACTTCCTTTTAAGGTGCAAAAGTGAAATGACTAATGGTCATTTAAAGTAGAATCAGTATGAATCACTTATTAAGAGCAGCCTGTCACTTCAGGATAACTGAGGCCCTTCTGATTTTCTTCACCACTCTGCAGAGCTTTCCATTTTTTCAAGTTACAATACTTTGTAATGTTTTCCTTTTCACTCTCTCACTTACCAGATCTGTGAGGACCATGAGGCATTCCCTGCATAGATCAGCTAATCATAAACTGTACTCTTATTTAATGAGACAAAAATGATAATTTTTTAACATTTTCTCCCTTAGCTTTTTCAACTACCCTAATTCAGTCACAAACAGGCGATTAGGTTTAAGTATGGTTGACCTGAACAGTAACACCAAAGAAACACAGGGCCTATTAAATAATATCTCTTTCCTCTTCAGGTCAGATGAGTTACCTTGAAGAGAACATGTCAAATACAAAGCTGGCACTGTCTTTGATTTTTCCCAGTAGACCAAAGAAAGAAAATGGTTGCTTTCTTCGAGAGGAAAATCACTTTATGACTCATCTTTTATGTATTCTTGCTACTTAGTCTTCGTTAGGATTGTTTCTCTTTGCAAATAGTGTTTTTAATCTGTGAGGGGTTTAATTCCATTTTCTACTTATATTTCTACATTTAGAGGGCTCTTTAGTCTGAATCTCTTTCTTTCACCACCGTTCCAGATTGCACTTTCAGAAGAGAATGAATTAAAATAAGGTTGTTTTGGCTGTTGATCAGAATATACATGAATGGATAAAAAAAGCTTAACAAACATTTATCTATTAAATAACATTTATTAGGTCACAACTGCCGTTTGCATTTAAAATAAGATTAAATATTTCTTAATACTGCAATGTGTTGCCATCATCTTTACAGTCTGTTTTAGGTCCCAAATCATATTAGTATTTCAATAGTCAACATTTATCCTGTTCCCTCCCTTGTAATTCTGGACAGAGGTGTGATGGCAGAACTTTGTAAAATCCCAGGAAGAATACAGAGGTAAGGTCCAGAATGAATAGCTTAGCTTTTTGCCACAGTTACCTGAGTACAAACCTACATGTCATTTCATCACCACAGGTTACTTCATTCACTCAAAAACTTTACAAAAGAAGTTCTGAACAACCCTACAAAATACACTACCCAATAACCATAGTTGCTCTCTGTTTTAATGGATATATACTTTCCCCCAAAACAATGTTACTAAAGCTGTCATGTATCAGTGGATCTATTTGTTGTGACACTGGTTTCTTGAATTGCTGTTCTCTGTTCTTGCATGTTGTCCTTGCATTTGTTAGATAGTATCTCATGAATGCATCCACCACCACTCCTCTCTGCCCTGCTTGGCTATTGTCTTTAACATCGGAATCATCTTGAAAACAATTTGAATTTTTTTTTTTTAATTTATAAGTAAAATGTGGAGGAGAGAAAGTAAAGAGAAGGGAAGAGGAAATTAAATACACTATCTGGTTCTATTTTCAGTTCAGCAATTGCAAGCTGCAATTCTGATAATCCAGAGGATCACCACAGACTCTATCTGCTGGTCACTGGCTTCCTAAAACGCCTCTTCTTTGCTAATACACAGTTTTTCCAGGTAAGCCTTGCCAAAGGATTCCTTATAGAAGGAGCAATGTATTTCTGTCAGTATCAGAAAGGGATTTCTGTATTCTGTGCTTCTGATCATATTGTCCAGAATGATTACAAATAAGAACTTGGGGTTCATCACTTCAGATGTGTCAGTAGGATTGCCTTTGTAAGAAGCAAAGTGTGAGAGGTTATTATTGCTTTGAATATTATTCAAAATGGCAAATGACATGAGGAATTTTAAATTTTTTTTTTATTATTTTTTGCATGAAAGTTCCTTGTGGAAAAGCTTGAGTGATCTCCTCTGAGCAGGCAAAGCTCACTTTGCAGTTCTCCATTAACCCCCAGCTGCTTCGTTCTGAGCTCAGTATGACCCACCTTCATCTGGGTGCCAGGTTCCCTACTCTGAGACCTCTACTGGCAGGCCTTAGGAGCAGGGTATCTGTGTTCTTGAAAGAGCTGATAAGCAGTTCCTGAGCTGCCTCTTGACTTCAGCCTACTGTTGCAGGTTTGCTGAGCCAACAAGTCCTTGTGTTTGCAGCGTTCTTCCTCCCGTTCTTATCTTCCTGCCAAGGAGGTGGCTCAGAGCTTGCACGTGGGTGAAGAACCAAAAGATATCCCTCAGCCAGAGCATGCTTGTTTTGGTTCAGAGTCAACTGTGCCTCCACAGTAGCCATTGGTTTGCTAGTTTCTATTGCCTAGCTCCCACCCAATCTCTGGTACTTGAACAGATGCTCCTTTGAATGAAAACAGAGGATTTGTGATGAGGGATAGTTGTAACAGAAAACAAAGCAAAAACTTGTGCTGCACCACTATCTGAATCTACAGTGACTGCTGAGTGCCATTTGGTTCCTCCATCTCAGGGAGACAGTAGCACTAGATGAGGTATAGAGAATGCCAGCAGGCACAGCAAAGACATTGAACAGGAACTTTAGAGTAGGACTTTTCTACGAAAAAAAGACTGAGGGGTACTGCAAGACCATTTTGTTCCTGCACGGTGTGGATTTGGTACACAGAATGATTATTCATTGTGTCTAACACCAGAAGAACTAGAAAGCACACAATAAAATGAACAAACAACATGTTAAAAACACTTACATTTACAAATTACCAGATTTAATTCCAGGGGCATCAATCCATGGGCAATTGCTAAATCTGAAGGTCCAAATACAACTTCCAGCTCAGGAGGCCCTCACAGCAGCTTGCTGTAATGTAGGAGCCTATATTGTGAAACAGAGCACACTGTGTGTGCAGTCCTTGCACTTTTTGTCTAAACTTCCGCTCCTGGCCATTGTCAGAGACCAGGCACTGATCTACGCAGCTCTTTGGTCTGTGAATTTCTATGTTCTGCATAAGGGCAGAGCTCTTCTTGTGTTTATGTAAATGACCATGAACTGAACAGGCCTAGAAAAGAAAGAAAAGCTTTAGGCAAGATATGGTATTTTCCAGTTTTAAATTTCTTTTGTGAGTGTCATGCCTGGCATGGTCTCATTTTGTCCTTCTTGGTGCTGCATCATTGAGCCCAAGTCCATTTCACAGCTCCCAGATGAGGTGGTATGGGAAGAGGTAGTGTCTCTTTCAAGGCCCATTTAAAATAAGACTAGGAGAATGGGAGCAATGGGAAGACAGGCAGCAAAAGAACCCAAAGTACTGCAAATTGGCAGTTGACTGTACTCTGTGGGTCCAAAAGGAAATAAAAGGCTGCACACACTTCTTTCATGCAGGAACTTTTAGTCGTCTGTGATAAGACAACAAAAAGGGAGTTTTAGCGGAAATCACCAAGGCTAAATAATGTGAAGGTCATGATCTGTTTTGATTTAGACTGCAGTACAGCACATCTAGACAGTGCTGCCAAGAGGCAAAAAAAAAATGACTGACAAGATATTTTTTGTTTTGAGAGCAGAAATTTGGATCCATCTCAAAGCAAACAGATTGAGACAGTTATGACAGTGGTTGCAGAGCAGGGATAGAAGATGTTCCAGCTAGCTTGAAACACACCAACTCAGGCAGCAGCAGAGAGATCAGTATAGGCTACTCACCTTGCCCCAGAATTTGGGCCACTCAGAGCATCAGAGACTCCTGGACTTAACAGGGAAAGGAACCCGTCCTGCTTACCTTATGGGTATGACTGAACCCCTGCAGACCATTCCCCTTCCCTTGAAATGGTACCTGTGCTGGCGCTATGCTAGCCCAGGAGTTTGGACAGTGCTGGGATACATTATCTCAAGGTTAAAGTCCCGCTACACTGTGCACACACCTTGTAGAAGATACAGGGGTGGGTAGCAGGTACAGTAAGTACTAAAGTAAGGTGTGTGATGTGCATCCGACTGAAATACAAAAGGCAGCCTATGGTCTCCTTTCCTTTCATCTGCAGAGCTGATGAGGTGATGGGTTTTATTGCTGGTCATTCATGCCAGTGCTATGTTATGCCATTTCTAGTAAACTTTACAGGTACAAAGTACTGCTGTTGGATTGTGTATGGTCACTGTTTTGTAGCCACAGAGCTACTGAGCACAGCTCCTCTTGAGCTGCTGCTCTGGCTCTCAAGGCTGCCAAGGGCATGCACCCCACTGGTATAAAAAACTTCAGAAGGACTTGCACAAGATAAGGGAGGCAATAATTTGGACAAGGAAAGGGAGAGCTCTTAAAAGGGTGGTGATGCAAAAATAAGAACAGGAGCATGCTTCCGTGGTACATGATAGAGAAATATTTCTGAACTTGAGATTAGTTAAGCAATCTTGTCATTTTTCAAGAGCTGTTGTCTTAAGGTCACATCATAAGAGAAGCTTAGCAGCAAAGGCGGTAAAGAATTAATTTAGACTGAGGTCCAAAGGTTTTGCCTAAATGAAAGTCAGTGGGTTTTTTTCTAAATAGTACTGAGCACCTTTGTGTCTTCAAAGGAACACTTTCTTTTAAAATTATGGATTTTAGATGAGTCACTTGACAAGCAAGTGGGATTTAGTGCTCCTTAAGCTATACATTTTTAAACAGCACCTATTTTTAAAAGCAGTCTTTCCCTAAAGAGTCCTGCATCAATACAGAAGATGGACTAGAGGGACTGCAAGCATGAACACTTTCATCTTCCAGACTTTGATTTCTCAAGAGCCGCTTATTCTCTGTAAGCTGGTGAAAGAGAAGACCACTTCCTTCTGTTGCTAAAAGTGGAGCAAAGCCTGAAGTAGGTAGAAGTTAAGGCCTCAAGAAGCTCTCATATCTTCAGAGCCTGTTGTGTGACACACTTGCTATCACAATCAGTAACAGCTGTCTAAATGACAGAGAGTGGAGCCTGGTGATTTCAAAAGGAAATTGGTTGAAAATCTGAGCCATTCTTCATCAGGCATCTCAGGCACTTGACAAGTGCTGGTTGCTGATTCAGAGAGGAGGGAGGGCTCACAGTACAGTAGCTGACACATCAGCTCTTAACCAAACCACTGTATATTTGAAACACAATCAACTCCACTGGTTTTTAATCCTGCTTGACTTGGGGGGGGCTTTCAGGAAGAAGATCTTCCATACGATTATGAGACTGTGATGCTGAGGTGCACTGAGACCTTCGATGATGAAGATTTCTAAACAGTACCTCTCTTTGCTAATGTTTTGCCAAGCAGTGCCAGGTACACCAGGCACGTGAAGAGGCTTCACCTCCTTCAGTGAAGCACTTCTCTGAGCAGTGCGTGGAGACACTGTGTTGAAGTGGTTTGTTACCATTGACTTCTCCTTCCCTCATTAGTACTTCTTGATATATCAGTTGAGTAATTTATACTTTTTAAAAGTCTTAAAGGTTTTAGCTATTTATTATATCTTAATAAATGTTTTTATCCATCACTATTTAATGTTAAATCTCGCCTCACAAATAAACTGAGGCATGTACAGTTAAGTGACCTTGCCTAGCATAACCTGTGGAAGAGCAGCAGAGAGGCCACATCAGTGGCAGCCTGCACACTACCATAGGATGCAAGTCTCAAACTGCAACCTGTAAAAATCACCACCCTGACAGTGATTACTTTTCTGGTGCTGTTTTTTAGCTTGGGCTGACAAGGAAAGATGGATTTCCTCACAAAGAGTGGGATGAGGCTCTTCTGTCTCTTTATGAGGACAGCAGCAGTGGGCACCCACTCCCAAATCACCCAGAAAAGTGCAGGCACAATAATACACTTTGGATTATTTACTTTTGAAAAGTGTGTAAAGCTGAGTGATCAGCCCTGTGCTCTTCTTCCATATCTAATTCTTTGATGAGTAGTGCTGCTCAAATAGTGTCTTAGAATTAATGTGCTGTGAAAATGAATAAAATCCTTCACATCTCAGAGCTACCATTAAAGGCTATTCTGCAGACTTGAACAAATTGTGTTCTGATAGTGATTATGTTGAAGTCATGCTAACAGCCATCACAAACAGAAAGGATAGAAGTTTTATTTTAAAACCTAAACTAAAGCTGGCACGCCCAGGTATCGATTGGTCTTCAGCAGCCAGGCTTTTAGACTGAACCCAAGAGGGCTGGGCTGTTGCCCAGCATTGCCTTGGTGCATAAAAGATGATACATTCAGGCAAACACACAGGAGCCTAGTACTGAAGTACAAGGGAAGAATAAGGGCTACAGAGGCCCTTCTATCCCTGCAGTTGAGGCTGTGATAGCACTCCATGGTGGATGTTTGCTAAGCTGCTGTCTTTTAAATTGGGGGTGGAGGGGTCCTGTTTGGGTTTAAGAGCCCTTCGGAGTTCTCCAGCCCTTCGGAGTTCTCTGCAATAAAGTCTCCCCTGAGCCTCCTTTTCTCTAGACTAAATAACTCACCTCCCTCAGCCACTCTTCCACTCACAAGACTTGTGCTCCAGATCCTTCACCAGCTTCATTGCCCTTCTCTGGACTTGCTCCAGCACCTCAATGTGTCTTGTAGTGAAAGGCCCAAAACTGAACGCAGGATTCAAGGTGCAGCCTCACCAGTGCCGAGTACAGGGGGATGGGCACTGCCCTGGTCCTGCCGGCCACACTATTGCTGATACAGGCCAGGATGCCATTGGCCACATTGGCCATCTCCTGTTCTATCTACCACACAACATTTGGTCGGGTTTGTTACATTAATGATTCTTTCACTGTGTCCATCTTAATTACTGCATCAGCTGAGGTCAAACTTGGCAATACTGGCACGTGCTGAGTAGATAAACTTCAAAGGTTAACAACCTTTTCTTATGCTCCCTTCATCGCCACCCTTTTGAAGGCCAGTCCAGGACAGAAGTTAAACAGTGGAATATTTAATTTTCAAATTATTTTCAGCCTGCCACCTACAAGAGAAGACAGTTTTAAATGGACACCGTACACTATTGTAAATGCATTCCCTTAATCATTAGACATGAGAGCTTCCGATGCTTCACCAGGAGAATTTTAGGTTAAGACTGGCCTGAACAACCATGCAAAACAATAGGTGTGTTGAGTTAATGTGAAAACAATACCTCCCTCAAATAGGAGCAGGCTTTGTGGGCAGTGTAACGACACTAAGGAGAAGATGAAGTGCACATTACTTTGGTTTCTCCTCTTGCGTGATCATAGTTTACAAGAGCACAGGCCAGTGTGTAATGTGGGAAGGTGGTTTCCTCTCCTGCAGAGCCAACTCTACAGAGACAATAGCTGTTCTGGCCTGGTGTGTGTGAGGTCTGCTCTACCTTGGCAGTGAAGCAGCCCTAATTCCTGAACACAGTATTGTTAGGTGTGCACATGTTCCACACTGAGCTCAGTGGTTGGTCTGATGGAAACGTTTCATAAAAAAATCTGGAAAAATGTAGGCTAGCAGGCCACTGGGGCAGTGAGGTAGGAAGGAGTTGGAAGCAGAAGGGCAGCAGGGATGGAGGAGTGAGAAACATGGACACATCAGTGGAAGTGCTGCCATTGTAGGGGTTTGGGCAGACCAAGCTGAACAGCACAGAATAGGACCCAGTTGCACAGCCATGTGGGAGCCCCTCACTTTACAACACACTGAGCATAACAAAGGACACTCCTACTGCCCGGGTCATGTCTTCTTGTGAGAAAGCTATGAAAATGAGCCTCTGATTAGCTGCTCTAGAGCCAGTGTACCTAGGTACAAGCAAATACCCATCACTGTTTCTCCTCAACCAGAACAGCAGGAGCACCTGTCTGGATTTCCCAATTAGCTATCTGCCTCTCTGCAAAGTTGCAAGCAGAGTGACCCCCACACCTGGCTGACATCAGTAAGTCTTGCTGCACTCAGGACTCAGTAGCATGAAAGGGAAATGCAGTTGACAAGTAGCTGGCTGTTGTCCCAGCAATCTGGAGCAGCCTTCAAGTGTTCAGTTTTACACCTGAGGATTGTCTGCTTTTCATTTTTTCATTAGGTAGCAAATAAACAGAAGCTGTTTTGCTGTGGTGCAAAGCCAAAGCTATTTCCAAATCTCAAGTGGCCACATGCAGTTAGGAGGAGTGGTGGCCCTGCAGACTAACCCCTGCCTACTTCATTTTAAAATACAGAATTGTCCCCCTGAGGCAAATAAAAGGATATTTTATAAATATATAGCTAACATATCAAAGGGGGAATTTTAAAGGGCATTTAGGAGCCTAAGATTGAAACAGGGATGTAAACAGCTTCTGAAAAATGTCTTCTAAGCCTTAGCAACAGGACACAGCTGCCCCCGACCAGCATACCACCACTCCCAGCACCACTCCCTCCCACCCCTGCAGCTGTCTGCACCTCCAGAGCCATAGGTGTGCTTGGGTAACGTGCCTCTTCTGGGGATGTGTAAAGTCGTGCCCAGCTCTAGGGAGCTTGCAAGCCAAATACAAGATGGGGACATACAGACATGGCAGCAGGCTGGGTGTGCAGGGTGACAGCACAACAGATAGACAATGTTCTCCAGCTGTGGGGTGGGGAATAAAAAGCCAATTCTAGGCTGATTTTCATAATCAACTTGTGCCAATGATATTTTTTTTAAGCAAAGCTAAAGCAAATATAAGCCTCTGGCACTTGCCAGCATCCTAACATGTCTTATGGGGAAAAGCAAAAAGATATGGCTGTAGCCATACACCTAACATAGAGACAGCAAAATTACTGAGGGTTCCTCATTTATGGGGAACACACCCTATTGATGTGACTTCTGTACCTCATCCATTAGCTGTATGTCCTGTTCCCATTTAAACCTCTAGCCCGTGGTGGGTCTGGCCAGCAGCAGCCTGGCAGCTTCAGCACAGACACAGGAACACAGTGATGTAGACCTTCAACTCACTTTCACACGTGTGCTACAGCACAGGTAAATTTGAGAGAGATGATGAGTAAGGCCATGGATTTGCCTGCTAGAGAGAGCAGCCTGGGAGTATAGGCTGGCTCTAAATGAGCCTAGAGATATAGTCAAGGTTGGGGATGATGAAGAAGATACCAGAGCTGAGATGCCTGGGACCAGTGATATCTAAAATATGTAATGGTGGAGGGGGAGTCAGATATACTTCAATGTACAAATCATTTTTTCTCTGAAAGATATAACCCCAAGATGCAACAAAGACACGGCAATTCCAATAAAACAATTGCCAACAGAGTCTCTCCAATCTGCCCATAACAGCAAACTATTTGTACCATAATGTTTCTTTCTTTAAGATGCTAACACTCACACAATTGATCTATTCAGGCTTCATTCCCTCTCCAAGCAAAAAACCACATTATATCTGTTACCAATAAACAAGCCACCTATCACTACAGCTGCAGTGTGGGACCAAAGAACAAGACTGTAACAGGCTTTTCATTGAAACCACAGTTCTGTTCAGTCTTGAGACAAGAGAGACTGAAGGGGCCATCATACTGTGGCCTTCAGCTGTCCAGTTGAGGGTACAGAGAAGACAAGGTCAGACTCTTCTCAGAGAAGAACCATGAAAGGACACGAGGCAACAGACACAAGGTGAAGCATTAGGAATTCCAGTTAGGCACAAGGGAAAACACTTTACACCATGAGGGGGGTCAGACCTGGAAGAGGCTGCCCAAAGAGGCTATAGCTCTCTATCCATAGCTCAGTGGGACACAGTCCTCTGCAACCTGGTCTAGCAGGACCATCTCTGAGCAAGAGCTGGCCCAGGTGACCTCTAGAGGTCCCTGCCAACCTGAATTACTCTGTGATTCTTTGAATACTACCTTCCCCTCACTATAGAAACCACCCCGAGAAATATCATTACAGCATACATTTTATTTATTTAAAAAAAAAAAAAAGGAAGTATAAATCTCAATGCAGGAAACACAAGGTTGTGCTACAGCAACAACGTTATTACACATCACCAGCAACCAGCACCACATGCAGTCATATTGTATGTGACCATATAGGTTAAGGCTGTCTCTGCTGATAGGGAGCAGGAGCAAGAATCTGCAAACGTGTTTTCCAGAGAAGTGCTTGTCACCACACAATCACCACATCAGACTGACAGGTACAGTGGGGGTACACAGGACATAGCAGTTACAGGAACATATCAGATTGTGAACAGAAGAATTTTCTCCTTCATATTTGATGAGGATTCCTTCTTTGTAGGGCAGGGTGCCCTGTGGGAAACTGGCTTACCTGAGACTGCTCCCAGCACCCCAAGTGGGATACATTTCAGTGAAGCTGGGTTAGGCCAAGAATCTAAGTAAGGTCTCTGGAGTCCCTCTGTGGTCTAAGGAGGGAGAGGCAGGTTCAGAATTCAATGTATCCCATTAACCTTAGATAACTCTCTTACAACAACATTCATTTGTCTGACTAAATTATCAGAACATGGAATGAGATGAATCATGACCTAGAGGTGTCTGCTCCTTCCCCTTGGCCAGGATGAAGTATAAAATACAAGCTGAAAGGTGAGTGTTGCCATTACAGATCTTAAAGGTGGTAGGGATTAGCCTCAACCCAAGGGATGCCTGAGAGTGTTACAGGGCCCACATCAGGGATGCCTTCTCCATTGGCTCCTTGAGCTGCCAGATGAGGGCACAGGAAGCCCTCTGCTTCAGCTGAACAGCTGGTCCTTGGGGTGCCCAACATTCAGTGCAAGGAAGGAAACAGAACATCTTGCTCAGGCATTTCTTGGGCTTTGGTGTTCCCTGAAGAGGGATTAGGTTCTTCCTAGAGGTGGCCAGGCAGGAGGAGAGAGGAAAAGAATGAGTCCCTCAAGGTCACCAGTGGTGCAGGGAGCAGAGCTGGGAAGAGGAAGACATTATTCTCCTGTTCCACCCTCAACAGCTGCCAGCTCATGCTCAAATGACAGGGGCTGCAGACAGGCTTTCAGACCTCTGCTTCTGAGATGAGTTCACCTGTGCTGAGACCAGGTCCTTATATCCCTGTATCTGCACCGATCTCGGAATCTCTTTCTGAGCTTGCTTTAACGGTGCTTTTTTGTCCAGCAGCCTTCAGTTCATCCATTCTCTTGTTGCCAGACAGTCTTTTGGGGCAAGCAGGGAGATACCGAAACCAAGAGACAGCACAGTATTTGGTGCCTATGCCAAATGGAAGATCATAGACCTTGGAAATGAGCAGAGAGCTCTCCATCCCTCCCTTGTGGCTATGCTTCCATGCCAGGAGCCCCCGCTCCTCCTGTGTTCCTGCAACAGCAAAAATGAGATTGTTGTGTTTAAAACAGCAGGTGTTTGAGCACAGGACTACTTTGTGTGCCTCACACCCACTTCTCGAATCCAGCAGGCCCAGCACAACATACAGATCCCTTGTACTTAAACCCTTCTAGCTCCAAAGCTCTTTAAAAATATTCACTAATGAGCTTCCAGACAATACATGTCTTCCTGCAATGGCTTCCAGATAAGCAGTCTTCTCCACTGCTTTCCACAGGAATCAAGTATACCAAGACAAATTTTTCACCTGCCATGGGGGATCCAAGTACTGTTCAAAGTAAGTCATACAGTGAAGTGAAAGCAAGGCTGGATGTTAACTGCCCAGATACTTCAGAGTGGATTTAGCTAGCAATTGCTAGTCAGTCACAGGTGTTTACCCTAGCTAAGGAATTCCTAAGGGCCCATAACTATTGTGGCAGCTGACGTCCTCTTGGGAAAAGGAGTGAGCACACCTGTAAATTCTGGAGGAGCTGAAGGTTGACGGCTACAGGAAAATTAATGGCCCAAAGGCTTTCCAATAAGCCTGAGACAGTAGAAGAATCTGGTTAACAGATTCCTGCTCTTTTCCTGTAGCAGAAAGGAGGGTTTCGTCCCCTATTCTTATGCCATCCCTCCCCAGGCTTGATGAAAATCCAAGGCTCTTTGTCCTTCTGAGGGACAGCTGCAGGTGCTATATCCTCTCTCTGGTCATCAGATTTTCCTATTGCTTTCCACTGCTGTGGCTCCGTTTTAGCAGCTCCCATAAGTAGGCACATGTTGGCTCCTTCCACTTCTTGTAACTGCCTTTCTCTTTCATTTTTACCAGCAACATGGCTCTAGGCTGGCATTTTCCCTAAAAGACATGTTTTCCAAATAAACCTTTTCCTCAGCCTGGATTGTTCCTGACAAATTAGTTAGTTTTTGTTATGCTGCTGTTTTCAGCGACATCTCCTTTCCTCACCCCTCCCTGGGAGGAGTACAGTCTCATGGTGCTTCATGGTTGCTAGCACAACTCTTGCCCATAGAACAGTAGTCACAAAGACAAAAAATACCAGGAAACAAACCCTAGCACAGGCACAAACCAGTAGTACATTTCAGCAAATCCTACCTGGAATGGTGTTATCAAGGATAAACCCTAGGAGTCCACCCACAAACATGCCAGTGGTGAGGAGCACCTGGATCACCTGGTCAAGCTGGATGATTCCTAGCAGAAAAACAAAGCTTTAGATAGTGGTGTAGTGAGACACATGTTTTACCAGCAGCATACCTGGTGCCAAGAGGCTGCAAACTGCATGCTTGCTTGAACTAGACTTGCAAATCCCAAAGCAGATTTGGCAATGAAAAGGAGATAGATCTCACTGACAGTTTCAGACCTACAGTTTTATTCTACATGATTATTGACTGATATGCAGTGGGCAGGAGATGACTAATAAATACACTAAGAGCCTATTAACAGTGCAGACCCCACAGCCCTGTCCCAGAAAAAGCCACCTTCTGCTCCAAACACATTCTGCACCTCCATGACGTAACACCTAGCAGTTTCCTACAGGAGCACGAGCTACAGTTTCCAAAGAAATATGAATATATTTAGCATGGGATTTCACCACAAGCTAATCAGATGTGATGTTTCCCCTAGAGGGCTAATAGGCACTAGCAAAGCCCAGTGGCACTGAGCATCTGACAGACCATCTATAGAGTGTGTGGTTTGTGGGCTGAGCTCTTTAAACAGCCCACCCATCATGCCATGTATATTTTAAGAGAAGACACTACGGCCTTTGTGATGAACACATTAGTCACACAAGACACAGTGAAGGGGTAACTGTTGGAGAACTGGAAATTTCAATAAAGTGAACTTGACGGAATTTAGTAGAGGAGTCTGATCTTGCATTTTGGAAGCACAAAGTTTTATTGTGTATGAGGACATAAGAAAGCCTCATTCATCAAGACCTTGGTCAAGACTCAGCTCTGGAGTATTCTCTTGCCCCACCCCAAGACTGTGTCCTGGGGAAGTGCTCTGCAATCCTTAGCTCAAGAGGAATATGGCGAGGTGCAGTCACTGATCAACAGAAGAGATTTCCACACCAGAGGCGTGCATCAGAGCAAAAGGCAAAAACAGCCCTCACAGAAAGGAACAGGACACAGTCAAGGCATAGGTTTCAGGGTTTTATCAGGAAGAGTTGCATTTTAAAGGGTTTCTCTGGATCAACTTTGCTTCAATGTTATGCTACAGAGAATGCTTCTGATGTCATTTCTTACCTGTTTCCAGCAATGCACTATTTTTGCTTGCCCAGTTGGGAATCGTGAGGCCAGAAAATACAGAAAATCCAAAGATAAAGATGTTTCTTGAGGAGTTCATATCTGTATACTGCACAGAGAAATTGTATACATTACATTCAGAATTATCCAAAACTGCGGATTATTGTTGTGTTCATGAGACATGGTGGGATGCAAACACTGCAGTCAGACAGCCCTGGTGCTGCTGGGGTGTTTGTGATCCTGTGGTCACTGGTGCCAGACAGCCCTGCCCCAGCCAGGGAGCCCTCTGCGATTTAGCCCTTCTGGGTACATCCCAATATCTTTACCCAAGGAATTGTCAACACAAATGTCTGCATTTGCTGCAGTGTGGTTATATCTGACACAGTCAATCTGACTTGAAACTAAAGTCTCTTTCTCTAGGGATGAAACAGAGTTCACACAGTGTTACCTGCAAATTGGAAATCCCCACTGCCGTGATAACTCCGAACATCACGAGGAACATGCCTCCGATCACTGGGCTGGGTATGCTGGCAAGCATCGCCCCAACTTTCCCGAAGATGCCACTCAGGAGCATGGCACAGGCACCAGCAATGATGACCATTCGACTCCCTACCTGGGGCAAGAGGAAGAGGAGGCAATCACACACCAATCAGCGGAGAGAGCCGAGGGATGGCAGGCTCCAGCACCAGCCTGTTGGGCAGAGGTTGCAGCTCTGGCCCAAAAACTCAATGGCACATTCAGTTGAAGGTTTGGATACCACTGCTGGTGAGCTGGGATGCTGACACTGAATGGGAACCATCAGTATTTGTGCACCAGTAAATATTTATAACGAAAGGCACTCTGAGAGCACCACACCTATTTCCTCGGTGTTATCCTTTTTCCTACTGTTGCCAGGACTTCAACAGTTTGCTGTTAAACAACAATTAAAAGGTTAAATTAAGAGCACAGTTATCCCAACACACAGCCTTGCTCTTGCTTCAGCCTAGAAATATCTTGGCATACATACAGCCTAGCGTTGCAACCAGCCAGTCAATTCACTGGACAATCACTAGACAAAACACCTTCCACCGGGGTTTGGATTACCATCTAAAAATGGCTTTCAATGAGGTGTCCCACAATGATCCCTCCAGTCCTTGGAGACCAAGATTTGGGAGACCACAGCTGGCTGGTTGCTCCAATCCTGAGCTCTGGGAGCTTATAAATCCTTTCTATAGTCAAGAAATAAGAAGTGAGAAAGTCTCCTGGTCTGCCCCTATCTCTCATCAGCTATCTAGCTTCAGTAAAACCATTTTTTTTTCTCATTTTTTTCCCTAGAAAGAGCCAGGATGGCCTTTTCTTGGTTGAGCACTACAGCAAAGATGGGATGAAATCACCAAGCCATGTCCTTCATTCAGATCTGCTACAGCATACAAATAGGAAAGATAAAGAGTATCTGCCAAACAAAGGGTTCAAAGAGACATTTAAATCTATGGAAACCAAAAAGAAAAGCAGGAATATTTGTTAGACTTTCAATTCAAGATATGCCTTGCCATACCAAAACTTGGACATCTTAAAGAATCATGCTAAAATTCACAACATTCATGTCTTAGGCAGGAAAACTCTGTAATCCTCTGCAAACACTTTATAATTCAATTAAATATCTTAATACCTCCCTTTAAATGTTTGAAGAATATCATATTTACAGGAAGGGCTTTTTGTGAATGTTTTGAACAAAAACATTCCCAGTAACTAGTGGTGTCTCTTTTAGGTATTTCTTAAACATGTCCCTTTAAAATATTTTGAGTTTTACTTGATTGTGAAAGATGAATTAAAAAGATTTCATGTGGAGTTTCAAAATAAAATCATGCATTGCCTTCAGGTGGGCTTTTTATATTCTTTGGCTTAAAACCTTGGGACACTATCACCATCAAAATGTTAATTTAATAAAAGTCAACAGATCTATTTGTTCTTAAGGATTAGAACAAAGATGCAGATTCTCAGTTTGCTAAAATGTTGAGTTACCCTGTATATGGAGTTGGCCTTAAAGGCAAATGATTTAATCCAGTGATACCACAACTGTGAGCATATGCTACTAAAGCTTCTAGTTCAGAATTTGTTTCAATGTCAGGAAAACAAGAAAATCAGTTCTCTTTCTTAAGGCTGAAGAAACTGCAGAGTTCCCTACAGTATATGGTGACTCTGAGGCCTTTACCTCTCTTTAAAATCCCTCTCTTCTTTTCTCGGAAATGAGAGCTCAGTAGTGGCAAACTGGGCTTGATTAAGCAGTTTAAATATTGGTGTCTGGTGCCATGTAAGATGTTGCATCTTGGCAGCCTCCAGCAGGTTCTCCTTGCCTTATCTGACAGCCCCTGTGGGTATCTGAGATGTCCAAAGATTTCTCAGGTGGTCCTGGACATCTCTGTTTAAGCAGAGGAAACAAGTCCCTTGTGCTTCCATTTGTTATGGAAAAATGTGTTTCCCACATAAAAAAAGAAATTAAATCCACCTTGTGCTCTCAGCATCCCCATCTGTCCCAACCAGAGTGTTTACACTGATTTAAAGTTGACTGAGATGACACTGTATTTTCAGCTCTCTTAAGAGTGGACAGAGTAAGCAGAGGTGGGATCTAAGGGAAATATCTCTCCTGAATCAGTAAGGATGGCATGTCCACCTGAAGGACTTAGCGTACATGGTGAGAACATGTCCTATAATCTGGTAACTATGAATCTGGGCAGCATCCCATACATACAATATATGCAGCAAACTACATGTCAGGAAAGAATTGGCTCAGGTATATGATCAGTATGCACAGACTTCCTAGTGACAAGGTACATGTCCTGACAGGCTAAACTGGACTCCATGCAGACATCCAGACATCCTTGGTGTCAGAGGCAGCCACCTCAGTCAAACACTACCACTTCAGTCTGTGAAAAATGGTTATTGTGAGTGAGGTCTATAAAATCCAGTGAAATAAGCAATATTATAGAGTGGAAGCTGTAAGTTAAATTCTGCATTTATTTCCTGAATCACAGCTCTTTTGGCATGGCATTGCTTATTTGACAATGATTTGAAAATATTGTTCAGTTGGCTGCTGGATGTACCTGTCCTCTGGCTGCAGAGCTTGGTGAAAATTTATGATCTGATTGTCCAGCTTATCTCTGGAAATTTGTTTACCTTATAAGAGCAATTAATATATTCAAGGGATTCACAAAACTTTATAGAGAGGTAAAAAACACAAACCTTTGCTATCACATTTTATAATCCCAAAGAAATAGTCTACCTCTCACATGACTGCCATCCTTGGTTTATAAAAATTCTGGAATTTGAAGCCCTATTAAATATTTTCTTTCTACTTTCTTTTCTTACTATTTCCCTTCCCCCTCCACCTCCCCTTCTTTTCCTTTCCTTTTCCTCTTTATAAATATATTTAGGAAGTCAGAGAGAGACAGACAGACAGTATTTGATAAAGTCAGTTCTCAGGAAGTTTCCAGCTTAGCTTAGATGTAACATGCTCTCTTTACCCTTACCTAAGCCAGGTGCCATGAGTGAGTGCACTAATGCCACATGCAGACCATAAGCAGAGAAAGAGAGGGACTGGCCACCTCTGTTAAATTATTCATAGTGCTGCTGAGGTGGTCACCAATGGGCCAGGGCACAATTTTCCAGTGTGCCTTTCAGGACGTGGGCTAAGACCACATTCCAGCTCCAGCACATACCCGTGTGCACCAGTCTTTTGTACATACACCTGCAGGGGAACCCTCCAGGAGCCACCCCAGCCACCCCGCTGCAGTGAGGCTCACCTTGGTGATGCCCAGGGCCCCCACATTCTCGCTGTAGGATGTGGTGCCATTCCCTGTGCCCCAGGCCCCAGCCAGAAGGCAGCCGATGCCTTCCACCCCAATCCCGCGGCTGATGGCGTGCTTCGGCGGCGGCGGGGCCCTGGACAGGCGGGCACAGGCATAGTAATCTCCCACGGACTCCAGCATGGAGGAAATCACCCCGGCTAAGATGCCAAATATCCCAGCCAGGCTGACTGTTGGCATTCCCCACTGGCCTGCAAGTAAAGACCTTGGTTCAGGTGTGGGGGGCACATTTGCCCTGAAATCTAGGGAGGAAGAGCAGCAGGAATGTTTGCGGGTGTTTGCCTGATTTTTGGCATTTCGTCTCCCCCTGTTAGTCATAAGTGGAGGTGCAAGCAGGAGCAGGCAGGATGGGGAAGGGGGGGGGGCAGTGGTACCTGGGTAAGGCAGCCGAAACCAGGGAGCCTGTGACAAAACGTCCCCACGAGTGTCCGTGCGAGCCAGGTGTCCGTAGGCAGTGGGGTCCACAGGGAGGACGTTGGTCACTGTCAGCACATAGCAGAGCAGCCAGCTCAGGGAGAGCCCCAGCAGCACCTGTCCCCAAATGCAGCAGTGGGGTCTGGTTAGGGTATGGCTGCATCTCCAGCATGGTTGTGGGGGACAAGCTGTCACTGTCTCCCTGCATGACTCTTTCCTCTGCACAGGGAATGGAGGCAAAGAGACAGCTGAGGCTTCTGGTGGCCCTTCCTCCTTCTTTCTCTCCCTCCCCAGGGTCAGGGACATGGGGACCTTTCTCCCCCTGCCCCTCACCACGTAGGCTTGGCTGGGAAGCACTAACTCATCTGGACACCTGTGGAAAGAGCCGAGGCAGCCCGCAGCAGGTGAGGCCAGTCACTCTGTCACAATCATCCAGGGTCTCCAGGAACCCCAACGTACCGGAAAGATCTGGAAGAGGTAGACTGGAGAGAAGTGGCACTTCTTGCCTTTCTGGTAAGACGGCAGCAGCACAGGGACATCTTTTAGGTACTGAGAGAACAGAACTATGAAAAAAATAGTCCTAGGAGGAGGGAAAACGAGACCATGAACAAAGTGGGTACCCAGCTGCCCACCTGTCCCCACATTAAATGAAGACCTGCTACCCAAGGACCCAGGACTCCAGAGGAACCAAAAAAACAGGCTTTCAGCACCAGAGGGTGGCTCCCCACTCCAGCAAGCCAGTGGTGGAACAAGCTTTCCATCATACTCTACTGATAGATCCCGCACATTTGCAAATATCTCTTTTCGGCCTATTGTTTCAAGACTGACATCCCAGGTAATGCATCAGTGAGTATGACACAGTTGCAGAAAGCTTAAAAATTACACCAAAGTGAACAAAAGACCTGAGAGACTTGCAAGGTCCAGGCAGGGCCTGAACCTCTGTGTAATTCAGATATACTAGAAATATAGGATTTATTGATTTCCTGATTTCAGGTTTACCTATGCTGCTTTGCAAGTGGCAAAAGGCTCTTAAGTGGCACAGAGTAAAAGAAGAGGATTTGGCTTGGCTGTGCCAGTCCCTGTTTAGAAAGAAAAAAACATGGTGGGACTGTGAGGCTGCATATGGTGCCCACAGAGCCATTTGTGGTTTCTAATGCTACAGACCAGAGAGAGTAGACCAGAGCCCAGACAGACTGTGTGAGTGCACACTTTGTGCATTTGCATGAACAAAGGTGCTCAGCAGCCTTATGAATCACTACAGAACCCTTGCCTGTCTCAGGGAGGTGTTGCTGCTTATTATTCAGGTTGCCTGACACATTCCATTAACAAACGCTATTTTCAGCTGCTTATAACTCTAGCTAACTTTACCTATTTGGGATGAAAATTTCCATGGAAAATGTCTGCCTCAGGCCAAATATTTTTTGAAAAATATGTACCAAATCTATTTCTAAGAGTGATATTCAGTAAATAGACATAGTATATAGCCTGCATTGAAAAGGTCATTTTGCCTTGACCAGTAGCAGGATTTACTTATGACCTGGAGCAGAAATTTGAGATTTAGTAGAACTTCTTTGGGGCAAAGGATATTACTGTTTCTCACAAAAATCTGCTCAGGTACGCTCAGTCTGCAACAACGATCATTCACTCCAAGTCCCAGGCAGTCAGCAGAAACATCTCAGGCTTTAGCATTTGCAGACCATAAAGACTCTGAGCCTTCTGAGTATGTCCAGGCCTTGCCTGTTGATGAACTGTGTGTGCAACATTACCAGGGAGTAAGTCACCACAGTCTAAAGAATTTTTTTGAGGCAACAGTGGGGATCTTCCATCATGGAAGCTCTGGGATGTGGTGGGACTGAACAGCAGGGCTGAGACTACATGACTCATGTCTTCCACCTCCATCACCACTTTCCCTCTTTCCCTAATGACACCCATGGAGCACGGAGAAGGCAGCAAAAGAGGACACAACTGGGACAGTTCAGAGCACAATGATCAGGGTGGGGCTAAGGTATCTGAGTCAGGAAAGAAAGTACTGGGATTATGGATAGAAGTTGGGACAGAAACTAACTGGACGGAACGGGTGACTTGGGTTGAGAGCAGGGACAAAGGCTGGAGGACTGGGACCCCATTAATGGAGCGGCATGGTTGGGCAAAGAGGTCAAGCATGACTCTGAGGTTAGGAGCTAGTGTCTGGAGAAGAGAGGCAGAGAAAGGAGTTAGTTCAGACAAGGATATACAGTTTGAAGAGGAAAATTCAAACTGGTTAAGCAAAAGGATTAGGACAAATCACCAGAGTTGGAGAACGGGACAACAAGCCAGAGATGTGACGGGAAAAACAATGGTGGCAAGAGAGCTGAGTTTCAAGCAGGATTTGGAGTCCTATGGGGTGTTGGTGGAAGACACTAGCTAGATGAGGAAATGGGGGTGGAGAAGAGAGGTGGCTTTTGGGGTCTGGGAGGGGAGGTGCAGGGAGGAGAAGAGATCAAGAGAAAGAATGGACTGAAGCATGTCCTACAACAACATGCTGCCTTCCCAGGGCTACACTCAAGCCCAGGTCCTGAGTCTCCAAGTCAGCTCTGAAAACACCAGTAAATGATGGAGCCCATAGAGAGGTTAACAACCTACTCCTCTTGCATCCTATCCCAACTGAAGTCTACATTAGGGATCTGAAGGTGGCAAGTCTGCAGGGCAACCATGCAGTTGCATTTCTACTTTTTTAATTAATTTCTCAAATACCAAGGAAATTCCACCACCCAGCACACTCCATACACTCCAGCAGAAGGGCATGCACGCAAATGTCCCTGAAAGAGCACTCACTGCTGCAAAGCTACATGTGCAGACAGACATTTCCAAAGCCCCCAGGCCCTCTAGAGAGAACAACTCCTCCTCCTCCTGTGAAAACAATACATAAAGCACCAGCTTTATGTAGAATACCTGACTCTGAGTGCTCAACTTTGTCATTCTAGGAATGTCTTTTTAACTTAAATGATGGGTGTGCATAGCCAACTGTGACAGAGACTGCCCACACACTGGAGAGACTTGTTTCTCTACTGACCTATGAACTTTGCATTTTCACAAAAATCAGGTTTTTAAGCTCATTTTTGGGTTTTGCTTTGTTGCTGAGGGCTTTAACCTACTGAGGGGTGGGGGAATGACTATATCACACATCTGCCTTGTCACATGTCAGTGACAAATAAACCTCATACCCAGGGAAACTCTGCTATAGACTGTGACACTTGGTTTCATACTAGAGGCAAGTGATTTGCGTATGCTCAGTTTTCCTAGAAAAGAGAGAGACTTACATGAATGCTATGCCCCAGTGCTGCCCAGCCTCATTCCCAGCAGACTCAAAGAGAGGTAGCGCAACCAAGGTGATGGTGGGAGCAATTGTCAGGGGGCCAATGAACCTCATCAGAAATCCAATCAGGCCAGAAAATCCAACGAAGATTTGAAAGCAGGAAGCTACAATGATAGCTCCTTGCACCTGGAAAAATGGAGAAAGAAAACAGAGGTTGGAAGACCCTTTCCTTCATAAGTCAGTGCAAATCCAGTGTGAGAGCCAGGCTCAATCTCCAGTCACAGACTGGCATGGAGGTCTCCCACTGACAACAGTAAAACCTGGCTGAACATTACGTGTGAGGATGGACCACCAAAGTAGCAGCACAGCACCTCTCTCTTTGGCTGACAGATTTAGTCCTCACCGGGGCTAATTTTGTTCCAAAGATCACCTCCTCGCTGTTCTCTTGGTCCACCCAAGCATGCATCAGCTGCCCTGCACTCTCCTTCCTGCTCCCCCCAAAGCAGGGGAAAACCTCTTGCCCTGAAAACAGGAGCAAGGCTGTGATCTCTACTATCTCCCTTCTGGGACGAACTTGAATCACTTCAGCACGCCGGTGGGGCAGGTGAGTCATTACAGCCTCTGTTTTTTCTGAGTATCAGTTTCTCTCCGGGAACATATTTATCACCCTGAACTGCCCTGTGTTTGACAATCACTGCTAAGGAGCCAGTAATTACATTCTGAAATGCTGCTCACTTCAGCATCAGCTTCAGGCAGGGGACTCAGGGGTGGGGCTGCTCTCTGCCTTCTCGGATTTGGTGATAAATCCAGGCTGGGCCCTCTGTGGTGCTGAGCACCTTCCCTCCCCCAGCTCCAAAGGGAAACACAGGGTCTGGGTGAACCACTCAGCCTGAAAGGAAAAATCAGCAGTGTCCTTGTGATAGATTTATGTGTATCAGCAAAGAGAGCAGCCTGTGCTGCACAGCAAATCCTTGGTGAGCTCTTAATGCTTCCCAAGTGGTTTGCAAAGCACACCAACAAATGGATCGACAGAGGCAAATTTAGCCACTTGCTCTAATAAGACAATTGATGTAGAATGAGGCAGTGAGATCCCTGACCTTTCCTCCTCCTTTCTGACTACCTAAGATGCCCTTTCCCTTAATATTTACAGTAGGTTTTGCCTTGTTTTTCTTTTTGCTAGGTTTCCTGTGCTTAGACAGGGTCCTTTTCTTGGAAACATTTTCCCTCCCTCAAGGCTAGCCATGCTTCATGGAGAAGGGATCTGGCTGGACCAGTGGAGACTTTGCAGGGACCATAAATCACATGAGGAGGTCTGTATGTCTCCTGTTCAGCAGGAATGAAGCACCTGCTTTTTTGACAGAGAATAAATGCTTAGGAAGCCGCAACAGGGAGAAGGCCAAGGTCCATTAGGAACAGTTTCTCCAGCATTGGAAGTTTCTCCAGCAGTGACATGGTCAAGCACTTTTCTGAAAGCAAAGAGTCCTGATACAGAGCGGGTGCCACTGAAAATGCAATATACCTCTCGCATCCGTGTCTGCCAGACTTCAATGAATTCTGGTGAAGAAGCATTCACCAAGGTGGCATTCTGTGTCCAGGCAGGGCACTTCCAACTGGGGAGAGACAGCATTGCCAAGGTGGGGGTCAGGAATGCAAAAGTCCCTCCTTGAATAATAGGCAACCTTGAAGGAGAGCAGAGGGAAAAGATAACAAGTGAGGATGCTAGAAACTCAGCTCCATAGGGGTCAGAGAAAGGAAAGCAAAATAAATTTAAAAATCATGCCTTGTGTTTTCTGGCTTACAGTAACGCCTCTCTGGGAAGCCCTCAGGCTAGCAAGGAACTCGTAGCTCCAGAGGAGCTCAGCACTGGTTTTGTGCAGAGCTTTATAAAGCAGAATGATGCTCCTATGAGCTACACCAGCCTCTTCTCTTTCCACACATGAAGAAATGGAGACACAGAGCTAAAAGGCCTGACTGGCTCCTCTAAACCCCACATGCTTTAAGCCCCCACTGCAGTGCAAGTTGTCTTAGCCATTCCTCTAGTGTGCTTGAAAAACCCAAAGCTGCCTGAGGGCTGGCATAGCAGCCCTGAAATAGCAAGAGAAACCTCTGAGGTGCCTCTGCTTCCTTCCCTTTAGGAAGTATCCCTGGGAGGAGCCCCCAAAGCATCCTCTCCTTGTCCCAGGATCTCTCATGGCACCTGCTCAGAAACACAATGGGGCATCAAGCTGGGTGAGTGCTTTTGCAGGTCACAGATTTCCCTGAAACAGAGGCATTTCCACCATTCTCTGGAAAGCACCTGAAAACAAGAGATGGCATAGCTGTAACAGCATCATGTCTCTGTCACCTAAAACAGATATTTTTACCACTGCAATTACCATGCACAACTGAAGCACTGTCGAAGCTTGGACGGTGAGTTATATTTGAGTATCAGTTATCTGTGGAGTCACCTACTTACGGTATTTGGCCAAATATGTTGCAGCCTTCAAACAATTTTGCTGGGCAAGGCAAAAAAAAACCCAAAAACAAACAAACAAAAAGAAACAGAGAAGGCCCTGTGCCATGACTTAAATTAACAATAGATTTATAGCTTCTGCTGTGTTGGTCCTTGAGCTATTTCACAGCCAGTGCTGTGTATGTGTGGGCTTGGAGCAAAACGGGGTGCCAAGGTGATGCTTATGGGCACACTGAACGCTTTCCAGTGGGGTTTGCAAGAGGAAAGCTGCAGGATTAGCGAAGGAAATATTACACTCTGATAATGACTACATGATATCATTTACTAATCACCATCACGGCAAATGACCTGTGTCTCCTCTCAGGAGCCTCTTGGATGGTGTCTCCAGCGACTGAGACTTGTTGCTGCTTTTTCATGCTGTGTAACATGACCGAGCTGCAGGTTGCAGTGGGTCAGCTTTTCCCTCGGCTATTGCTTCTGGAGGGCTGCTTCTGAACTGCACTCACTCTTGATGGGAACCTCCTCAACTTCATGCCCAGTTCCCATCTGTTTGTTCATGTGCCAACATTGTCTTTTAGCCAAAGTGGTTTCTGCCCCCAGCTTCTCTCACAGCCTAGTTACAGGCTGCAGTTGTCACCCACCCCTGAGCTGCCACTTGGCCACATCAACCAGGCCAGCCTCTGTAAGAGGAATGGTCCAGTCCCTCTTCTCCATGCCACATTAATAGATCATCTACATTCTTCTTCTCCTCTGAATTAATCTTAAATATGGACACCAGGAAGTGTGCAAAGCACTTAGCCGAGGGCTCCCCAGGGCCTCGGAGAGTGGCACAGAACTTTTGCAGGGAAAAGCATCCCTCAGAACTCATTATTTACCACTTTTCTGGCTGTCTTGTTGGTGAATTATGGTCATCAGCTATTACAGAATTTCAGAAAACAGTAAAAGGAGAAAAAATTATCTGCTTCCAACTGTCTGCTCAGGTTTGGTTTGCCTCTGGCCACACAGCAGGCTGTCTCACCTTTCTGGTAGGAAATAAGGCAAAACTGCACCCTCAAAAAGCCATTCAAGTTTATCCTATAGGAACAACTCCCTACCACTTTGTTTGATCTATTGTTCCTCATTTAGCTATTCAGCCATGGGAGATGCTCCCTGATACTCTTTCATCCTCAGCTCACAGCGAGCAGGGGACGTCACAGCTCTCAGGTATTCACAGAGGAATTTGGAGGGAGAACTCCAGCCTGAATTACACTAGCAGCCACAGCTAGTTATGCACCCCAGCCTGAATTTAGCTGAAGAACCAGATTCTCTCTTTTTAGTGGTCAGGGTGGCCCCCTTCCTCCACTAATCCTGTAGCAATGTAGGCGAAGGGGAGCACCCTCCAGGAGAGTTTGTCTACAGCCACTTCTTTAGACATAGAGAGATGGAAAAGTTTCACTGGTGAAAAAAACAGGAGGAGTAAAAATATTTTGTGGAGCTGGCAGTTAACCAGTGATTTGAAGGCAGAAGTTTTAACCAGGTCCCTCACATTCAGAAGCCAAAGAATGTGTACTTTTTGCCTTTGAAGTGAGAAACACAGGTTCCCACCCTACTGGAGTTAAAAACAGTCTGTGGAAAGAGAGAGGCAGCCCAGAGTTATGACAAGGGGAATAGAAGAAATTTTGCAAGGTCAGCAAAGATACAGGGTCTTTCTGGAAAGGAAATGTCTCTCATTAAGTGCTTCATTTTCTGGGTACTGAATGGCAACTCCACGCTCATCTCTCTACTGTCTCTTAAACAGCTCATCTGCAAAGAGGATTTACCTTGCTTACATTCAGATTGTGCCACGAATCCTTGAGCATGGCAAGTGGCACTGCGTAACAGGACATGCTGCAGAGCTCCTCCCTGAGTCCCTAAGCAGCAGCACATGCCATTTAATTTCTCCTAATTATCCCCTCCCCTAGAGTTTCCTATGGAAACTCTAGCAGAAGGATCCTTGGGGTAAAGGGCAAGCAGATACTTTTTACTGAATGTTGCAGTGCTTTATTGTTTTGAGGACAGATTCCTTATGAGCCCAGGAAAAGGTGTATGAAGTATCAGGAGATGCAAAAGTCAGAACAGCGAGGTAGCCCTGCAAAACTCTCATGTACAGTAATTTCAGGGTGCTTTGGCATGTACCCTGATTGCCCAGGGGTAGCAAATGACTCTCACTGATAGATAAACTCAACAGCAGGGTGGTGGCCAAGCACACAGTAGCTGCTCAGCACACAGTAATTGCTCACGTGTCCCAGTTCTTTCATTTGGCCTACCTGACTCCAAAGAGGACTTGCAGTAGGGTGCAAATTCCTGAGACAAAGAAGATGGTGCTGATCAAGTGGCTCTGGGTGAGTAGGTCGTGCTGGAGGCAAAGCTCTTTGGAGAGGATCAGCGGGATAGCTACAAGACCTCCCATGGCTGTCAGGAAGTGCTAGAAGCCACAGAGAAAGACTGGGTGAAGAAGGACACAGAACTGGCTCTATATTATTACCATGTTGTTGAGGGAAATCTGAAAACAACTCACAGATTTGTGTTTGGGTGGTACTAGTATTACCCATTCTCTCTTTTGTTTTAGCAGCCTTAATTCTCTGTTAGGGGCTGTTCCAAAGTACCTACAAGAATTGCAATGTATCCACTCAAATTTCTCCTACTTTTCGTACCCAAAGACCTTTGTAGTGCTCTGGACTCCCCTGTCAGACCACTGTCAAACACAACCAGCTTATCTGCAGCACCTGCAGACAAAGCTGTCAGGGCTGCTCTTCCAGAAAGATGGGGACATCCCAAGGTAGAGGGAGAGAGCAATCAGGCAAAGTAAATGCAAATATTTAAGTCTGTCTCATTCACACCACAAATGATAACATTAACAGTTGGCACATTGGAGCTACAAATTCTTTACCATCGGTACCTTTTCTCACACAGTGCAGTTATGAATAACCATAAAAACCGGATGCCAAAGAATGGAAGAATTGGGCATTGTATTTGCCAGAAGAGTCATAAACATATTTCTACAACGACCTTTAGCTAATGACTAAATATGAAAATAATTTTTCAAACTTATTTTGCTTTAATTATTAACCCTGGTTGTGAGCTCTCACCTTGGAGCACAGTGGTGGAAGTGGTGGCACTCAGAAACTCACTGTGTTCATTGGCAGCATGTTTTATTAAAATTATGATGCTGCCTTGCTCAGAAAACCTTGGGTTGATAACACTCTAAATTTGAGACAACCATTTAAGGAAAAAAAGTACAAAACTCCCATCAAGCTCCAAGCACGGTCCATCATTACCCTAATCATTCTGAGGTCTCTCTTCTCCAAGGCTCCATACCCAGCATGGCATTGGTGGCATTGTGTGGTTTAACACCCCTGGGCATGGACACCAGCCAAAGCAGTGTGTGCACTTCTGCTTAGTTTTTGTTGCTGTGGGAAGGCAGAGTTTACCTTCAGCTGAGGTACACAACCAGTTCTTATTAAATATTTGGCCCCTGCCTCGGGACTCTGCCTTACCATTTGCACTTCAAAGGGTGCAATGTGGCTGTGAGCACAAGGATAACAGTCAGTGCTCAAGATGTGGTGGGAAGGGCTTGAGTTCAACAAGATCCAGCCCCAGAGCTCCAGTCATGCCCAGTGAAGGTCAAGCACTCACAAATTCAGGTTTTACCCCCATTAACTGGCTGAATAGCCATGAAACTTCCACCCACCCCCAGCCTCCACCTGCTTCCCCGTCACACCTGAATGCCCAGCAGGATGCACAGATACCAGGGAGGCACATCTGTGACAGTGTAGGCAAGCTTGGTCCCACTATGGCCTGTGCCCCCACCCTCCTCTGGGCCCTGGGCAGCACAATCTGGTGAGGAGCAGTAGTGGCTTCCATCTTCAACCTGGAGAACAGGAGAGACCCTTTGTTAGCCACAGGCACCCTGTGCCCTGCAGGCACCCAGCAGCCACCTGTCTTGCAGCCACACTCCATGTCTGGCAGGAACACCTCCTGTGTAGCTTTCAACAGTGCTAGGATATAAAAAAAAGAATAAGGAGGGGAAATTAAAACTGAGGTATAAAACACCAATAGAACATTTTCATATGCACATGCATGTCTCGGCCTGAAGAAACATTAGACGGTGTCTCAGCCTCAAAGGGACATCTGGACAAAGTTTGTTAGTATCATTAAAGTCTGGCTAAGGATGAAGAAACTGCAACCAGAAGCAAGGGAGAGTGTGCAGTGGGTTCATCAGTAAAAGCTGCACTGTCCTCTGGTCTCTGCCCCTCTGACAATTCCACTAAAATAGCATTTTTGATAAAATATGCTAAAACACCTGGCTGACACTAATTACTGAGTAAAAACATGTTTTATATTTCATTTCCTTGGTCTTTTCTTTCCAATCCTTACCAGTGTTCTGCCTCAGTAAACTCACCTGCCTTTTTTCTTACTAGAAAACCTCACTGCTGCAGAGGAACTGGGTAAAACACAGGGACACCAGTGGATGGGAAATCCCAGTGTCCCTTCCAAAGGAGCCAACTGAAATTGCTCCCCAGGAGGTCTCAGATCCCTCCCCACCCAGAGCAGCCAGAAGCCCAGGGCTCCCCAGAGAGCTGTATGTCTTGCAGAGTTAACTTTTATAAAGATGCATTTTGCCAAGAAATTTCTTTGTTCAAGATCCCTCCCCAGAGGCACCCAGCTCTAGCTGTTTCTACCATAGTCCCATTCAGATAAACTACCTTAATGGACTTAAAGCCTGAGACTCTGCTATGAGATACCTAGGGCAGAGATGCTTCTTTAACAAACATGGTGTATTTATCCAGCCTAGGCAAACTGGGAACATTACAGATACTTAAAAAGAGATAAGTGAAGGCAGAGTTAATTCCAACTGAACTCAGGCATGAACTGTAAGAGCAAAAGGCATTTCTTAATAACTCCCTGTGGAGACATTTCATTTCAGAACAAGACAGCCTGAGCCATGGATTAACAAGTGTACAGCAAGGTGCTTAAGACTGCCCATGCATGGAGTTATTTGGGGACAACTACTCCCGAATAACACCATGGGTAGATGAATGCTAAGCTAGGCAGACAGCAGTAAGCTCCTTTCTTTTCATTGCAGTTTTTCCTGAGTTAACTAGGAGGCATATTCCAGCCAGGCAGAGCCTGTGCCAGCAACAGAGCTGCATGATCATCACATGAGGGCCTGACCCTCCCCAGGAGCTGGAGAGGAGTGAGCAAGCAAGGCTCAGCAGGGGAAGGATGGAGGAGAGGTAACAGGATGAGACAGGACTAGAGGCAATGGACTCAAACTGAAATGCAGGAGGTCCCATCTTAACATCAGAAAACACCTTCTCGCTGTGAGGGTGACCAAGCACTGCACAGGTTGCCTAGAGAGGTTGTGGCTTCACCATCCTTAGAGATATTAAAAAACTATCTAGACACAGTCCTGGGCAGCTGGCTCTGGGTGACCCTGCTTGAGCAGGGGGTTTGAAGAAGGTGACCTCCAGAGGTCCCTTCCAGCTTCAGGCAGCCTGTGATGCTGAGATGCTGGCAGGAGGACGAGGCAGGAGCAGTGTGGAGCAGGGAAAGAAAACCACTGTTGAAGGTTCTCAGCCCAGCTGCTCCCATGAATCCAGGGGACCAGGACACCTTCCATGTGCCTCAGGCTCCAGGCACAGCATCAGGGTCCTCAACCACATCTTAAAAAAGTGCATCAGGAGAGCAGTCAGAAACTGAACTGCTTGAACTACAGGTAAAAGACCTTTGTCTTCTACCTTCTTTGGGGTGATTCAAACCAGAAGAAGTCACAAGCCTGATATGCATTATGGCAGAGCAAGTAGAAACAGAGACCCTGTTAAAAATAATGAAAGAAAACCTCTGGCTCTGAGCACTTCCCTGAGCCTCTGCCCACAACTGGCACAGCACCCCCACCTCCACTGCTCACAGCGAGCTCAGCCAGAGCTGTCTAAGAAATGCGGGACTTGTATACTGGGAGGTTAAAAGCCTCCCCAGACAAGTGGTTTGTACCAAGGTAGCAAGACGGTTGCAGGACCCCACTCCTTCACACCTGCTGACAGAAAAATAAGCATCTTTTTTAGTTTCTAATGGAGATGATCCCTGCTGTGAGATACTGTGCCCCAGGCTCTTGCCCTGTGGCTGTTACAGCCAGCAGCATTCCCAGTGCACCACATACCCCTGGACTGGCATACCATTTACAGCTTTTATTTCCCTGCTGTATCTCCACAGGGTGCCCTCCCCCACTGACTCTTAAACTCCTTTTTCACCCACCTTTCTGAAAATTCATCCTACTGAAAATAGGTTCAGAAGACAAAGAAACACATTCCTTACTAGGCTAAATTTCTATTGTAATTTTACTAATTAACACATAAAATGCTGTACACAGGAACACAGCCACAAGGAGCCATGAGATCACTTGCTTTTTAGAACAGATACACTCGCGCTGCCATTTATCTCCATTATTGTTTTAGAAATAATAGAGAGAAAAGAAGTTAAAAGGGTGCCAGAGAGTAGAAAGTATGCTGAGGCTGCAGCAGCAGCAGGCGGCTGTACTGAGGAAATCATTCCTCAGATTCTTGTCGATAAGGGCCAAGACAGACTTTATCACACATCAGAATCCTTGCACCAGCCCAAGCCCCCAGTTTTCCCCTTCTCCTCCTTTCACAGGGCTTTCACCTGTTAATGCAAGAATTACCCTTCAGAAAGCAGACTCACCACAAAGCTGGGGTTATCTAGCCCGTTGACATCTTTGTCTGAGGAGGGAGTCATGCCTTCCACTTTCCTTCACCAACTGCCTTGAAAAAGAAAGACCAGTCAGAAGAGGAAAGCCTCCCAAATTCCCACTCCTCCCAGTCAAAACAGCTCTAAAGAAACGGGGTGAGAACATGCAGAAGCGGGACTTCAGGAGCCAAGCAGCGCTCAGTCCTAGCTATTCATGTGAGCTGTATTGCAGAAGCATTTCCTTTCCTTTGGCTTATGTAAGTGACTCCTTTTCTCCGGCTGATTAGAGGACCGGCATTCAAACAAAACTGGAGAGCAGCCCTTCCCTGGAATGAGTGAATCAGTAACTGATGACAGAAAAAATGTCATCCATAGATAAGGATGCTCGAGGGTATCAGGTGTCCTGGCACAGCCTTGAAACTTGTTGCTTCATTAGTGTTTCAACAGCAACTTTCATTTTCTGTGTGGATTGGGCCTCTTTGAAGATCTTTGTCCTCATCTTTAGGAAATTCAATTTCTAGATAGTTTCACTTATTTCATATGTAAACTACTGTGTGTTTTGGCTTAGATACAAACATCATCATCTTGTATGATACTCATATTATAGCATGAAAAAAATGTGGCTTGTACTGGGAACTTATTTAAGGCAGCAACCAATGATCAAGTGTTTAGATATATTAGTTGTTTAGCTTATATAAGTTTTAAATAGAATGAGTCAGTTACAGTACTGTGTGATTTAGAATGCTGTTTGCTTAGCTTTGTTTGCTTAGCATGAGTAGCTAGAGTTACTGAAGCCTTGGCCCATAAGCTGTGGATTTTCACCAAGATATGCTTTAGCTGAAATACAGTTAATTTTCCTAGTAACTAGTACAGTGCTGTGTTTTGTCTTTAGTATGAGAAGAATACTGATAATACATGGATGCTTTAGTTGTAATATTTTTCCTAAGACTTTTTTAGTTAACCATGTTCTGCCAATGAACAAGAAGTGCAAACCACAAGATAAGAAGGCTACAACCATCAGCAGAAGCTCAACTCAATAAAATAAGGTAACAGCTTGCCTGCATGGAGACAGAAAAATAATCCAGTAAGATATTAGAAGACTCCAGACCAAAAATCACCATTGGACTAAAAAAGTGCATTAATTGCACATCAGGGGCAGGTGTATAAGTCATAAGCATATAATTGCTCGGGGATTTGTTCATGGTCCTTCTCTGAAGACATTCAGCTCAAGCTGACCTGCTGCTGTACCACTCTATTAAATTGATTATTTTTATAAATTCTGATGCCTGAGACTCTGCTGTGGGAAACCTATGGCTGAGACTGAAGGAAGAGGAAGTGCACCTGACAGTGGGTGTATGTGTGAGAGTGAAAAGGGGCACCTGTCAGCTCATTGGAGCTGCTCACTGCAAAGGTGCTCTGGTCTCAGCACTTATAGTCTTGGGTGGAGTGTGTGTGTGACTCGTTGAATGCTGTGAGAATGCTCAGGCAGCTGCTTCTTTCACACAAGTCATCATAACATGACGTCAGAGAGGTACAGAAAATGTAAGACTGAAAAAAGACAACTTCAGGTCATCTGATTATCCCCATGCAGCTAAGGTTCCCAGCTGGTGGCCATCAGATAGCCCAAAGCATAGTTGCTATTTTCTTAACAAGTAGCAAATGGTGTTAATGCGCCACCCCACCCCAACCCTACTTAGATTACTTTAATTTAGTGGCTTCCTGAGGCAGTGCACTTCCCAGACCAGTTGCAGAGAACTCCTGCAGAGTTGCTATTGCCTACATGCAAGTGATACCTACACAATCCATTGAGAACATCTGATTTCCACTCAGGACACAGTGGAACTGAAATAAGCCCTGGTCCCTATTCCTCCTGGAGAACTTTGGTATTCTCAGCCCTTCTCTTGAGACCAGGACTGCATTACAGGATGGGACAACCTTGCCCTAAACACTATCAGTGAAGTTATGACCTGCTGGACAGATAAATTCTAAGGCATCAAAATCATTGAATCATAGAATGGTTTGGGTTGGAGGGGACCTTAACAGTCATCTAGTTCCAATTTCCCTGCCATGAGCAGGGATACCTTCGACTCGACCAGGTTGTTCAAAGCCCCATCCAGCCTGGCCTTGAACACAATGATCAGATGTTCACAGCTTTGCCAGGTTTCTTCTCTGAAGCCTCATTATATAGGAATGTCCACATATTTTTAACCACAGAGGGTGCATTTCCAATCTCCAATCTGTGTGAAAGTTATCTTGGCACAGGGCCACTTTTCTTCTGCAGGCTTTAAACAAGAAGTCTTTTCCTGGTCAAACTACCCTGGACACTTTCACCCTCAACTCTACCAATTCCTAGCACAGAGGGAGCAGCACAAAACCTGCCATTTGTATAGACTTACTCATCTCTTTTCATCTAATGCACTATGTGGTTGCAGTTCATTGCATATTTACTGTTTCATTATATATATCAGCCGTGTCCATAAGCAATACCAGAGAGGATGCACCGTTGCAAGGCTCTGAGAAAAGAAGTATCAGATTTTCCTATCCCTTTTTTTTAGGTACATTCCTGCTTGCATTCCTAGATGGTAACAGTGCAGTTCTCCAAGCAGTCATCTAAATCTGATCGTTCCGATATCCTCCCCTTACCGTACCCTATTGCAAGAATCAGTCACTCTCTGTGCCTCACAGTCTCTCTGATTGTGAATTTTCTTTACACAATATTCCTCTGGAGCTAGTCTTTCTTCCCAGTAGACTTTTATGACATCTTCCATTAAAAAAGGCCCTGCACCTCTTAATTTCAGCACAGCACCTGTTCAGTGACTCCTCAGTCCTGCCATAACCTTGTTTTCAGATGAGACCCAGGCATTCAGTAACCAGGGTTTCTTCTTTTCTTTAGTTGCATAAACTTGTGCAACATCCCAAAGGCATGGGTACATAATAACACCTGTGTCATCTACACTAGCATGTGAAACTGCCCATACAAATATAAGTAAACAGAGTGAAAAGAACAAAATAATAATAAGAGTAACAATAATAAATCAGTAACAATAACAATTCTTTTTCTCAAAAAAGCTGGGCAGAAAAACAGTTTGCCCTTCTGGGAAATCCTGCAGTGGAAAAAACGTGCTTTTTAGAGTACCAAAAGATTGCAGATTTTCATGAAAAACACAGGAAATAGGTCCTGCATAGCCAAAAGCCTGAATGTCAGAGTAGACCTGTTAGGAATGAGGAGTTTAACAATACCAGCCTCTGGCCAACAGAAGGTTAATAATCTCTAATCTAGATGAAAGTTACAAAATAGTACGATGTACATGTCAAAGTCGAAATTTATGGGATTCTTGTGAAATGCCCCAGTGTGGAATATTCTGCCTTTGGAAATAAGCAAGAAAAATAGGAAGTCTCTGTGTAATGCAAATATTTGTGTATATCATGTATATATGCACATGTGGATATTTATGTATATATAACAGGATTAGCAATAAATTACTAAACTGTGAAGTTTTTCAGAACAAGGAATTTTTTCAATTAGCAAAGATGAAAGCTTAAGTAGTAATGCCATCAACTACTGGTTATTGATGGCAGCCTAATCATTATATGAACAGCTTTTAGTATAAATGAACGGGTATCCACCTGTTCAAGTTATTTATTCAAGTTATTCATTCAAGTTATTCGGGAAATAAAACCAAAGAAAAGTATAATACAGCTTGTCTTTAGACTTGTGTGTCTGGTGTATCTCCTGCTATCAGTCAAGTTACCTGGCCAGCTGCTCACAACAGTAAAGGCTGGCTTGGTTTATGCCCCTGGGGGCAGAAGCAGCCAACTATCTGTTGAAAGCAACTAATGAAGGAAAAGCTTGGGAACATGGGAGACCAAGTTCAAATATTCAGACTTGACCCGACGTCTCCTGTATCCACAGGGAGAGCCTGGACCATCTGTATCCTGACTCTTGTGACAGGGTCATTTTCTCTCTTATGCTACAATTCCACTTTCCAAGTCTTTCCAGGCCATGTTTCATAATGGATCAACCCATAATGTCACCCTGAGATGCAAACCTGAAATGTCCCTGATTATGTCTCCTCAATCAAGGAGCTTCCCTCACTCGTTACGTGTTCGTGCCTAATTGCAGTTGGGGTGACAGCAGTATGGCAACTTCCAAGGCCCTACTGGTTGATATAGATGTGGCAAGTGCCTGCCTCGCACAATCCCTAAAAGATCTGTGTGGTGACAAATCTGAACATGCTGGCAGATTTATCCATTACCAGTGGCTACAGGCAGGTTTGGTAGCTGAGAGCCCTCCCTTTGACTCTGCAATGCAGGTACTGATACATGAGCTCCCTTTGCCTTCAGTGGGCATCTCTAAAATTTCCAGTGCACCTTTAAATCCAAGTCCCAAATGGGATAGATAAAGTAAGCCCTTATTCTTTCCCAAATTATGAAACAACCGAGTGACTGGCTCAGTTGAATGAGAGGCATCCCTCCATGTGGGGCTGTGCACATGTAACCCAGGGAGGTGCAGATGTAGCCAGTCATGCCAAGCCCCTTGCTGAGAGGGCAAGTTCATCCACAGTGCTCTCACAAATCTGTGGCACTGAGTCCCAGGTACTAGAGCTGGATAAAGGTGGATTTAGAGGGAACTCAGGGTTATGAAATAAAAGTAGTGCAGTATAGAAAATGGATGTCATGGGGATGTTGCACATAAAAAAAAAATCCAAACACTGGAATTATCTTTCTGGAAAACAGTTTGTTCTTTCACAGTGCTAGCTCTGGTTGGTTTGCATGAAGGACAGACTAGCAAGAGGGCTAAGCAAGTGACTTGCAATGACTAATTTAGTTACAAAACACCTCTATGTCCTTCTATCTGCAAAACCTTCTGCAAGCAAAGAGGATCACCCATGGTCACTCGCTTGAAATTAGTACGTGTGTGTTCACAAAATTATAGAATGGTTTGAGTTGGAAAGAACCTTAAGGATCACCTAGTTCCAATTTCCCTTCCATGGACAGGGACACCTTTCACTAGAGCAGGTTTCTCCAAGCCCCATCCAACCTGGCCT